ATTTTTAGCTTAAATACGCGTTTTCTCTATGCAGAGAATGCACTGGCAAAAGTGTTTAGAATTAGTGGGTAAGTTACTTTAAACAAGTAATTAATTACCAACAACTAGCTAATTACATCATCAACGGTGCAAATAGATTACTGTACTAATATTGCATTAATTATTACTTTCTATTCCATATCCCATATCAACCTAGAACAGTTGAACAACACAAAGACAGACATGAAACTGCTCTTTTAATTTTCAAATAAACAATAAAATTACTGACCAAAGTATTTAAAGGAAGAAGGTAACATTAAAATATAGCAATTGCTGTATTGTTAAATTCTGTTAACAGAAGCACTGACATTGAGTCATGTCACCTTTAATTTATATAGCGCTTTTTACAATACTGATTGTTTCAAAGCAGCTTTACAGAGATAACATGAAATTAATGCAAAGATTGTTTTGGCCGTACAGCAGCTGTAGAAGAAAATCATTTAAGTAAGTTTTTAATTGATTCATTTTCGTTGAAAAAATCATTAACTTACACAACTGAAAACAGAAAACATTTAATTTACACGACAATGGCGTTTTGGTGGCCTCAGTCAGAACGCAAACTTTGAAGTAGGTTTCAAAGTGCGAGTTTTTGAAAACAGGTTTTGGAAGAGATACTGTTATCATCACAGTGTAAACTTCAAAAACATGAATCAGTGGAAACGGTGACGGCGTGCACATGCGTATTAAGTGTTTAGTCGTATGTGCGTTTGAATGTGCGCGGGGCGTAGTCTTTCTTTACAAAGTGACATTGCCAATTACTTGTCTGGGATGCATAATACAGCGTTTTTAGTAATTTCCGCGGATGCGTGTGAACGGGAATCATTTTGATAACGGTTTCATCTGTACAGAGGAACAATGATTGTCGTGAAAAAAAAAAATTGTCGTGTCGATGAGGCCTTCACAGGGAGAGTCTAGTTGACACAATCTCAGCTGACACTTCAGGACTGCGTTGAGGTCGTGTCTAGGTGCAGGTCCACCATCTGGTCTGGATATGGCCCGGATCCGGCTGACTACAGTAAACCTCGGGATAAGAGACTAATATTCGCGTAGATGTCATTCTTCTTATGATGTAACGAGTACATCAGGTGTTATGGGACGTGTGCCCGGTTATGGCTGACCTAGGTTATGCAGCCGAGCCTATAGGTAGTCTATAAGTACATCTCGGAGATGTCTTTTTGATGTCTGCATTTACATCTGCAAGATGTATTTTTTAGAGTGTTTGCTCATCTGCAATATACGTCTCTAGGACGTTTCCTGTTAGATGCCATTTAGACATTTAGAATATGTCTTTAAGATGTTTAAGATTTAGAATGTATGTAAAACTGCCTTTTATAATGTTTATCAGATTTTACACAGCAGATGCTTTCCAGATTAACATATCTTTAACAGACATCTTACAGACGTACCTGTGCTATAATAATCATTTTACATGATTTGTATAATAGAAATTGATTGTGTATGCCAGGTTGAAGAGGTGTGTTTTTAGTCTATATTTGAACTGACAGACTGTGTCTGCTTCCCGGACAATGGTAGGAAGACTGCTCCAGAGTTTAGGTGCTAAATAGGAAAAGGATCTACCGCCAGCAGTCAATTTAGATATTCTAGGTATTATCAACTGGCCGGAGGCAACTATAATGCGTTAAGAGCTCACGCAAGTACTGCGGAGCTAAACCATTTAGTGCTTTGTAAGTAATCAGCAATATTTTAAAATGTATACGATGTTTAATAGGCAGCCAATGCAGTGTTGACAGAACCGGGCTAATATGGTCATATTTCCTGGTTCTGGTAAGAACTCGAGCTGCTGCGTTTTGGACCAGCTGTAGTTTGTTTATTAAGCGTGCAGGGCAATCACCCAGTAGAGCATTACAATAATCTAGCCTTGATGTCATGAACGCATGAACTAACTTTTCCGCATTTGTCATTGAGTGCATAAGTCGTAATTTAGATATATTTTTAAGATGGAAGAATGTGGTTTTACAGATACTATTCACGTGACTTTCAAATGAAAGATTGCTATCAAAGAACACACCCAGGTTCCTAACCGACGACGGAGACTTAACAGAGCAGCCATCAAGTGATAGACAGTATTCTAGGTTATTACGTGTGAATGTTTTTGATCTAATAAATAGAACATGTTTTTTTCAGAATTTAGTAGTAGGAAATTACTAGTCATCCAATTTGTTATATCAGCTATGCAATCCGTTAATTTTGTGAATTGGTAAGTTTCGTCAGGGCAAAAAGAAATATAAAGCTGAGTATCATCAGCATAACAGTGAAAGCTAACTCCATGTTTCCTAATGATATCTACTAATGGTAGCATGTACAGAGTGAACAGCAGCGGTCCTAGTACTGAGCCTTGTGGTACGCCATACTGAACTTGTGATCGAAAAGACATCTCTTCATTTACTGCTACAAACTGATAACGGTCAGATAAGTATGATTTAAACCATGCTAGTGCAACTCCACTAATGCCAACATAGTTTTCGAATCTATTCAAAAGAATGTTGTGGTCGATGGTATCAAATGCAGCACTAAGATCGAGTAACACTAATAGAGAGATACAACCACGATCGGATGATAAGAGGAAATGATTTGTGACTCTAATAAGAGCTGTCTCAGTACTACAGTACGGTCTAAATCCGGACTGGAAATCTGTACTGAAACCGTGACCCTAAAACCGCGATACAACCCAAACCATGAGTAATTTGAACCGTTACACCCCTAGTTATTTATGTCCGATATTCAAATACTTTTTTGTCAAAATATGTAATGTTATGATTCCCCTTATAGGTGGTTGGCCAGGTTCATGGGTTATAACACTTTGACGAAGAAATTAATGGAAAAAATCAACGCCGCTGAAAAAGGGGGCGGGGACTGTCACACTCTATTTGGCGAGTACAATATCACTTGTTGTCATCCGGTAATTATGGTTATTATAACATTCTGTAAATGCAGCAATAGATCATCCCTAGGGTCCCCAGGGAAGCGTGTGTAGCTGCAACTCATGACTCTGCCAGGTGTCATGGTTTGGTTCACGTTCATGTTTTCAGTGTTTTTTTTATTTTGTAGTTTTCAGATGCAATGTGATTCCCTTATTCCTGATTGTTCACATGTGTCAGATTGTTATGTATATATAGCCCTCATGTTCCCATTGTCTCTTGTCTAGTTTTGTTGGTTGTAACATGCTTTTGTCGAGTCTTGTCAGTTCAGGTAATGAACTGGTTAATGTTTAAGTTATGTTCTTAGTCAAGCCAAGTTCTAGTCATTGCCTATTTTATACAAAATTGGATATATAAGTTTGTCCAACTTTATCCGCATACATACAGAATCACGTAGGGCGATTTATATCATATCGTATTTCAGTTGCTTTATGCATCATCGCAACAATCTAACTATATTATCGCCCAGTTCTAATCTGCTAAATGCAACTATAAGATATGAAGACATTTTCTGAATATATAAAGCATGAACATGAAGATGATTTTCTGTAAAGCTGCGTTAAAACAAATAAATTTGACTGGTTATTTTTCTTGCGGCTCTAGAATCATTAATTGATGACACTTAGGCTCAGGCGATTGGTGACAGCCCATGAGCCACTAAAATCAGACAAGTGGTGCTCAGTGCAGAGCCTCTCTGGACACAATGGGTGGAGCTTGACCTTGTCCAGCTCCACCTCAGTGGACCCAGTGGGTGGAGCTTAACCTAATTAGGTTTAGGGTGTGGCGTACCAAAACATCATGCAACCCGTTGACCTCCACTTGAGTTTGAAGTTTCTAACAAACCTGTAAATTAGTACAAATGAAATGAAATTTGTAATATAATTTGTTTCTTATATGCCATTTTAAATTGTTTTCCTTGTCATTTTGTTTTGTTGAAAGGCATAACCAGGGACATAACCAGAAGTCTATGTGCAGAGCATCTGCTTTTATGTAACGGTAGCTAAGTTTCCATCCAAACCTGTGAATTTAACTTATGCGCAAAATTGGAATATGGCATAAAACATTTGCGAGAACAAAAATCAGAACAAAATCGTCACTTCCTTAGAAATTGGTTGCCGCAATTGTGGAAGAAACCATGGCTCTTTTTTTCCTCCATCATAAATGACTTGCACGCAGATGCTGTCTCAATAAACGCCGTCCTGTTCTCTTGCGTTCGGATGCTGGTGTTTGGGAACACAATCGTGTGAGAAGCTTCTGGGGGGGAATTAAACCAAATCACTCTCGTGACAGAAAACAAAATAAAACGTTAAATTACGCAGACAAATTGAGAAAATTAAACAATTTGACCATTTTAAATAAATATTGATGTTCCTTCAACTCAACGCATCTAGATACACACAGAAACAGCATCTTCTCCATCTTTTGCTTTTTCATACCATGTAACAACACTTGATCACCGGCTACTCCCTGACTTTAAGCTTCACAGGTCTGACCTGCTTAAAAGTCCGACACTTTGCGGGCCGTTTACGAATCATGTGATAGTGCTTTGAAAAGACCTATACTCAAATGTTGTGAATCAATTAAAATAAAGTAAACTAGATATTCATAGAGAAGCAGGTCTAATTTGTGACATAATATTCTTGTATTAGACAGTACCAAGGCAAATGTGCACTCTTGAACGGCAAACAGCAGAACATTGAAAAATTATTTCTATTTCGTTGTAATCACAAAGTTTGCTTTGATACTGATTTTACAAAAAAAATGCATTCATTTCCTTCAGAGGCATTAATTCCCAATGGAACACTGAACAGTTCTGCATTTAATCCTCTAGGCACATTAGAGTAAATCATCAAAGATGAACACATGAACTTTTATTTCACAGATGGTGCAAAATTGAAATCCGATGCATTAACAATAAATGAGAGGCAAAACTCAAAAGGCATTTTAAAAAAAAGAAAAAGCCTAGCTTATGTACACTTCAATACAAATAAAAAAACAACTTTTTTTCATTTTTCGCATCAAAACTATAAGAAATAACGGCAGAGTTGTCCAGCAGTGAACAATCACACAAGGCCCTGATTGGCTTTTAGTGTTTATAAGTCATGTGATGGTAGAAGCGTAGCAGCGTGGGCGGAGCTCAGGAGCTGATTGGAGGGATGAGGTCAGCTGACTCTAACGTGTCCTCGTACGGGCTGTGGCCGGCGTCCGCATGTTTCTCGCACTCCAGACTGAGCTGCTGCTGAGTCTGAATCTTCAGAATGAGCTCCTTGATCTCTTCCCGCTTGGTTTTCATCCTTTGCTGGGGAAACCAATCCAATAGGTTCATCGGCAGATCAAAGCTGGGAAGAGGATTCTTTGAAAGAAAGAAAGAAAAAAATCGATTATTGCAGTAGTTACAAACGAAAAAGCCTAAACTAAACAGTCAATTCAATATGGATATGAGGGTCATTAAACAGCTGTAATGTATATTTCTCTTTTGACACTCTTTCATCTGCATCCTGAAGCAACTTTTTAATGATATAAGGCAGTGTAAGCGGAGAATAACGTAACCAATAAAGTACCATCATGACACTGTTGTAGGGCTGCAACTAACGGCAACTAACCGATTAATCCAAATAGACTATCTCTTTAAATAATCAGATGGAAAAAATTTATTAATCAGATATATAATAAATATTAATTTAAATGTTTTTAATTGTCCTCCAAATGATGAGCAATTTGAAAACAAATGAAATTGCTCATAAGTCATTCTGAAAGGACACAACACATATTTATAAAGCCAACTCTTGAGAGTTTACAGTTCAAGATGCTGAATTACTGAAAAACATAGAAAAAACTAAAAATATTAAGAATATATATTTTTATATGTAAAAAAATATGTGTATGTGGTATAACAACTTATATTCACAATTAAAGTGAAGCTACAAGTCTGCTCATACTTCATTTCAACTCTGAGGATTATATATCTAAAACTATGCATTTTATGAAGCATTTTGTAAGACCATGTCATGTGAGTTTTTAGAAAAGGCTGATAAGATGCTAATAAAATATTTTTTGCCCAGTAAACACCGATTATTATCGGTCTATTATAACACCGATTATTATCGGCCTATTATAACACCGATTATTATCGGCCTATTATAACACCGATTATTATCGGCCTATTATAACACCGATTATTATCGGCCTATTATAACACCGATTATTATCGGCCTATTATAACACCGATTATCATCGGCCTATTATAACACCGATTATCATCGGCCTATTATAACACCGATTATTATCGGCCTATTATAACACCGATTATCATCGGCCTATTATAACACCGATTATTATCGGCCTATTATAACACCGATTATTATCGGCCTATTATAACACCGATAATTATCGGCCTATTATAACACCGATAATTATCGGCCTATTATAACACCGATAATTATCGGCCTATTATAACACCGATAATTATCGGCCTATTATAACACCGATAATTATCGGCCTATTATAACACCGATAATTATCGGTCTATTATAACACCGATTATTATCGGCCTATTATAACACCGATTATTATCGGCCTATTATAACACCGATTATTATCGGTCTATTATAACTATTATCTGTCTATTATAACACCGATTATTATCGGTCTATTATAACAACGATTATTATGGTTCTATTATGACACCGATTATTATCGGTCTATTATGACACCGATTATTATCGGCCTATTATGACACCGATTATTATCGGCCTATTATGACACCGATAATTATCGGCCTATTATAACACCGATAATTATCGGTCTATTATAACACCGATTATTATCGGCCTATTATAACACAGATTATTATCGGCCTATTATAACACCGATTATAATCGGCCTATTATAACACAGATTATTATCGGCCTATTATAACACCGATTATTATCGGCCAATTATAACACAGATTATTATCGGTCTATTATAACACAGATTATTATCGGTCCATTATAACACAGATTATTATCGGTAATACCAGTCTATTATCTAACATACAGCGTCTGACAGTTGCTGGTGGTGTGAACGGGGCTTTAGAGCTCCCATGATGCTTTTGGCATCAAGCTACATAACACAATTTAAAAGATGAATTAAAACAAGCATGTCACGTCCACAAATGGAGGGAAAATAGCAGACTAAAAGTACAGATACATCGCTTGAAATGTATTCAAGTAAAAGTACACGATTTTGAAACTACTTAAAGTAAAATTTCGGATAAAAACTACTTGCATTAACGTGAGTATTTGTAAGTCGTTACTCTAAACCCCTGGAGCTTGGTTATTCAGTCCAATAAGAGACTCTGAACTACAACTCTTTTATTATACAAATGTGTCATTAAATGTCTACAAATGTATAAAACGGATCTGAGATCAGGTAAAAACTATGCAGTAGGGCTGAAACGATTCATCGAGTTACTCGATTTACTCGATTACAAAAATGCCTCGAGGCAAAAACTCGAAGCCTCGTTAAATTCCTATGACGCGCACTATACGCGCAGGGATCTATATACTATTATAGCGCGTGATACAATTTGAATTTAGTTGGCGCGATGGCGGGGAGTAAAGATGTCCATAAACGGCAGAGAATGTCTAAAGTTTGGGATCATTACATACTTAAAAGGGAAGAGAACAAGGTGCAATGTGTCTACTGCAAAATAGACCTGGCATACCACAACAGTACGACTTCAATGATTCAGAATCTGAACCGAAAACATCCACTCCATGCTGTCTCACCAAGCGTCGCTGAAACAAGGTAACCCAAATGGTGTGTTCACACGAACACGAATAGAGCGTCAAATACGCGTCTATCGCGTCTAGTTAGACGCTTGAACATTCGCTCGAGTTCAAATTTTTCAACTTGCGCGGAAGACGTTCGCGGCAAAAGCGTCCAAAATTCGCGTCATTCGCGACGCCCGACGCGAATGATGCGTCTATTCGCGTCTTTGCATTGACTTTATATGTAATCTACTCGCGCAAATAATTAAATTTGCGTTCAGTGTGTGAATCCCTTCACACACAAACACACACGCATGCACCATCATCTCTCTCACGCGCCAGTCAGATCAATTGGGGCAATGCATCACATATGATTAAACTTTTATGTAGCCACGCAACAATAATTTCAGCATGCCTTCACTGTATACACCGGGACGTGATGGAGGAACAAATATTGTATTGCAGTTTTTGCGAGACCTTGTTTGTATGTCCAAATAGTTAGACAACAACAAAAAAATGAAATTCCCCAGCCAGCTTCTACAAATCCACTCGTACTTTTGGGGAAGACATTTTAATCGGCTACCAAAGTAATTGAGCATAGAACATTGTTGGCACTTATACTAAATGGGTAAAAAATTGCAATAAATAGGCTTAGTTTTGGAGCCAAATGTTGAAGTTGGAATAAATACCAGTTTGTTTTTGTTTTTTTTGAGAAATAAAAGCCAAATGCTTGATAATTTTACAGCCACATCATTTTCGTTATGCATTATTTGTTTTGGTTGTTTAAAAACACACACACATTTTTTATCCGATTACTCGATTAATCGATCGATTAAGTGCTAGATTAATCGATTACAAAAAGAATCGATAGCTGCAGCCCTACTATGCAGACACTGGTTCATGATTTCACAGGAATCATCGCCCCTAGTGGTGAACCAATGTAATCTCGGCAACAAAGCCTTGTTAACTGAAATCACGTGACTTGATCATGAGGCATGTTTCGGAAGCACCCATTGCTATATATGCGCAAAATGGAAATATTCATAAATGAATCGCTATGTGCTGAGGAAAACGCATCTCAAATGCATAAACACAAACACATCCGTTGAAGCAAGTGACAGGCCACCATGTTAAACTCCATGCTTTAGTTTTGATGCATTCTCATGTTAGGACATCTTGGAGGGTGCACTACTGTCCCGCAGCATCTCAGTCCGAGGCGTTCTGTTCATATAACCGCATTATTCACTGGTGTAAATCAATATAACTGGCAGATGTTTTCTGGGCACAGCGCGCAATCAAATTAGTTGATTATTTTAAATATTGATTAATAGCAATTATTTGTTGCAGCCCTATATTGTTAAATGACTGATTCTGATCATAAGGTTTGCATAATTATGAGGGACAGAAAGCTTAAGGAAGTCAATGCTGGTCCGCATTCTGATCACGGTTACAGGTTCCTTTAACGATGCTTTTATAGTACTTCAGTACAAAAAGCTACTTTTTTGCCAAATGTCAGGGTCATTTAATACAATTCTTGCAAAAAAAAAAAAAAAAAAAAATATTTGCTCATCTCTTTTTCCACAGCCCATTTGACAGCTCGCAAAAGTCCCGGTTATATGAAACTTTTCCCTATTTGATATTAAATCCTGGAAACATTGTGATGTCATTTGTCTGGGATGTGTGTGAATTATACGAGTAAACGGATGTTTGGGATGCGGCTCAGTCTCACCTCGAAGAAGCTCTCCACATACTGCAGCACGTAGACTCCACAGTCACTGAAGTTATCCTGCTGGGGCACACGAGGACTCGAGCCCTTCATCACCTCTTTCCCGAAACTCCTCTGGGAGCCCTTCTTCACCTCCCACTCCACCTCTAGATACCTGCACAAACACACACAATACTCACACCAACATAACCGAGACCTCAAGGCCACTCGTGCGACTCGCGCGGATGCTCCCTGATTCCCACAGGAAAAATACTTTTCTTTCAATATTATATGCAAAAACATCTGGTGATCATGAACTCACACATCCATGTCGAATAAAGGTTTTATTTTCAAGCAGTAACTCACTGTCGCAGCGTTTTCACCACAGTCGAGCGTGTGGGTCCACGCAGAGAGTCCATGATCAGAATGCAAGGCCTGAGGATTTCAAGAACATGACAATGAGTGCGGAAAAATATACACAACCAAAACAAACAACATGTATTGTAATCAGTCGGTCCCGAATTATTTTTTAATTTTTTAATGTACTGACTGAATCTTTCCCGCAGCTTTAACTGAAGACAAACTGCTGGATGGTTTATCGGACAAGCAGAGTTGACACGCTAAAGTATGCAATCCCATAATATGCTTAACCCTCTAGGCGCCACGGTCGAGTTTACTCGACAAGACGCGGCACTGAAAAAAAAGGCCGATTTTGTCAAATTGGGTGTCAAATTTCGTTCGACCTCCCCTCCACTGGATGGCAGACATGTCATACTTCATCCCCGAATCAAAAAAACGTCATGTTTCTATACAAAATGTTCGAGTTAGAGCGCATTGAATCAAAAGCGGAGCTAGTGTGCGAGTAAGCCATTTTATCAGATCCTCTCCGCAATCGCGGCGACAGTATTGTGGTGGAGAGTTTGTCTAATACCACTGGGTATGTTAGACGAGGTCGAAGTATTCATAGGACAGTTACGAGGCAACGTGGAGGCAGGGTGAGGAGTCGCAATGACAATGACAGCAGTCCGAGCTGTGCACACTCGGCGCGCGCGCGAGGCAGATCTGGCCGCGCTGCTCGTGTCATCTCACTCATGATCTGTGCGAGTGAGCGTTTGAACTAAACAGGTCTTGTCTACTTGTGTTTGTATGTCATATGAATAAAATATATTTGCCCCATACATGGAATCAGAGTGCCTACTGTATTTAGTAAATGGAAAATCTCTACAGCAAAAGGCCAATCACTACATGCATTCGGTTTGTTTCTACCATTTATTAGTAATGATTTACACAGTTTGTTTACTACTTACTATATACCTGAGCATTCAGTATTGTGCAATATAGCATACAGAAGGTGATGGACATTTTGGGGGGAAAGAAGTGCTGCATTTTATCATTTAAACGTGACTTTTCATGAAAATTCTATAATCCAAGATTGCCACCACCATATGACGTCATAATATGCAAATTAGATGGGAAAATGTAATCCCTACATAAACTTTGGGTCATCCTTAATATTTCTCTAATTTACAGAAAGTCTCTATCTTTTTTCACTTTTAAGATATAGCCTTTTGAAATTAAGATGTCAAAATCGAACGTTTTAGGAAAAAACCTCTGGCGCCTAAAGGGTTAACATTGATCCTTTTTCCACACTGTTGACACATCTGATATAACGGATTCACTGTTCTGTGACATTTAATTACCATATTTGATTTGGTTGACTATGCAAATAGGGTAATTATCATTAAATAAACAATTAAAATATTGTTAATTGCAAAAAAAAAGCTGAAATAAATTAAAATATAAAAAAAAAAATCAAAAAGTTTGTAATCTATAAGATGTTTTGTTTAGTGGTTTTGAAAGAAGTCTTCTGCTTTTGTAACGTTCAAAAGTTTGGGGTCAGTTTGAATTTTTTTTTGTGGAAAGAAATTAACACTTTTATTCATCAAGGATGCATTATAAATGACAAATGCTGTTCTTTTGAACTTTCTCTTTCCTGGAAAAAGAATTGTACACAATTGTTTTCAACATTGATAATAATAGTCAGAAATGTTTCTTGAGCAGCAAATCATCATATCAGAATGATTTCTGAAGGATCATGTGACACTGAAGACTGGAGTAATGATGCTGAAAATACAGCTTTGATCACTGGAATAAATTAACTTTTGAATAGAAAGTTATTTTGTGATAATATTTCACAATATTACCGTTTTATCTGTATTTGTGATCAAATAAATGCAGCCTTGGTGAGCAGAAGAGACGACCTTTCGTATCATTAAAAAATCTTACCAACCCCAAACTTTTGAACGGTAGAGTAAATATTAACCCCCTGGGGTCGGCTATCGCGCCGGCGCGATTGTCTCCCTTTTTTTTTTATCAGTGTAAAAGAGACTCAAAATACTCGGTTAATTTTGATCTTACATATAAGTGTTGTACATCATTAGATCCTGTTAAGTTTCTATTTTTTTTGTGGATACTCACAATAAAAACAAAGTGTTGTGCTTTTCACCAAATAAAGAAAAACAAACATGATGCGAGTTCTGCGTTCTCTCTGTCAGTGAAGTCCATTCTGAAACGCGTCCTAAGATTAACTGTAACTCCGCGATTACTTGTCACACAGGCACGAGAGGTTTTTCTTTATGAAGCTTAAATTCTCTTCTTTTAAATGAAGTAATTTATATAAAAAACAAATATTCTCAGTTTATGCAATCTGTATGAAAAGAGAGTGCTGTCAGTATTTTTTCCCCAGCTCATTACACTTCATTACGCGTTAATCTGACACGCCCACGGAGGACGCGCGCTATTCAAACGCAAATGTCGAGGCAAGCCATGACAATGCCCACATCAGCCGTTCCACCGCGGCGGTAAAATGTGTGGTGTATTTGCTGCCGTTTACCGCTAAGAGGCGCTACAATCATAGACTCTGAAAAGTGTTCGTTTATTCCGGTTTATTCTCTCTAATGCGTAATCTGCTGCCGCACCGCGCTGATTCAGAGCGATTGAAAGCTGGTAGCAGAAGAATTCAACAAGTGAAACGTAGTTAAAATAATTCATAATCACAATACTGAAATTAGGCTACTGAAATGTAATTGAATAAATAATGAAAACATTTCAACATAAAACATTGCTATAAAAACATTTAGGCTAGATGACGGAGGCTTTACAACTTTAACAGCGTACAGACGGTAGCTCAGTGATCAACGCAACGACACGAGCTTCGAGGAGCTTCATTCGACCCGAGATCGAATCTCAATGTAGCATACATGTTGTTAACCGATGTTGTCCTACGTTTATATTTTCCCACCTTGATGCTTAAATAGGTAACTGTTTATATCTGTTTACTTATTTAAAGTCCAGAGTTTTGTTTGATTATCATTACAACATAAATTTGCAACATTCCTGTAGAACCGCAGCCGCTGCACAAACGACAAAAACTGATGAAGGAAGATTGTCAGCCGATTGCATCAGAAAATGAAAAAGAAGAAGCTCGTCTTTAGTCTGCTAAATTATTGTGTAATGTAAAAGAACACAAAAATTACTTATGTTTGAAACCAAGTTCGAACATTTCAAGGTTTAAATAAAGGGTCGGGACAGTTTTTTTTAATTTAAAACAGGGTTGCATCGGTTTAGAGTTTATTTCTTTTGCGATGCAAAATAAGAAACACTAGGCTAATCTTATTCTTGCGACATTTTAAATTCGTATTGCCAAAGAAATTACAGCTAAATTAAACAATTAAAACAGTACAAAACGAAAATTGTCCAAAGAAACATATTTAAATTAAAAACATGGGTTTCTCTTTGCCTCTCTCGCGCTGGATCTCTTTTTAACAAGTTTATTTAGTCTCCCTCGCTCTGATAATACTACTGTATATGTCGCTGCGTGTCAGCCATACAAATCACGGAAAAATTATTTAGCCTTTAATTGTTGCTTCAAAGACACAGCATGCCTTGTTGAATTCACCTTACAATAACTTCAATTGAAATTTTGTGTGAAAAAAAACTTTAAATAGGCCAATAAATAAACTACAATATTTATAATATACTAAAACTACTATTATAAATTTATATAAAATATGGGGCCTACATTTGGACACAGATTTATCCTTACAATAATTTTGCCTGCTCATCAGGCTGGCTATCCGACACTCTCCATATGAAAGAGGAACATTAACACCTTTGTTCAGCAACTGTCCCTCCAACCCCCCACAGGCTATCAGAGTCTGAGGCTGACTTAACACAAAGAGAAGTCGCAATTCACACTTAAATCGCTATTCTAGATAGTGTTGATAATGAAGGAATTAAATGGAATTACATGTAGCCTAGTGATATTTCTGTCATAAAAGTTTATTACTAAATATTTCATTATTTCAATAATTGATGAAATAAAACTGGTTTGGGGCAGCTTTTTCCAAGCAAAACTAAATATAATCTGAAAAAAACGCTTGTTAATTTGTTGTCATGAACAAAATGTTCAACTCAATATTAAATTCTACAGGGATCTTTGGATCCTTACAACCAGGCATGCAATTTGTGAATTAAGTTTTTATTTGATTTTGTATTATTCAAATAAATATCGAAACACGGTGCTTCGTGGTAATGCTGCTAAATTAAATAACATTTATAGAACAATTATGAACTTAAATGAAACAATATCGCAACATTTCGACAAATACATTATTTGATCTGTTTTTACATTTTAATTCAGGGCGATTTAGCCTACATTTAATTAGAGCGAGATTTTCACCCTTGTCATTTTCTCATTGGGAAGCGCTTACAGGCTACATGTTTGAGTAGATCCTCTGTTCCTCTAGTTTTCATATGGATTAGCCTATAATCAGATAACATTTATTAGCCTAAATATTTAGACATTTAAAGGCTTTAGACATAGCCGATTTCTTATCGTGACTGAGCTGAAGTGGCTTTCGGTTCATTTTTGTGACGCGCAGTTCCCGGAGACAGAGACGACAGATAGCCTATACTGTTTTTGTCGTTAGCCTAATATGAATACAAGTTTACAGTTTTGAACGATGTAAGCTACTCTACTCTTATCTGTATGACCAAAAAATTACGGAGTCGCCTACTAAGTTATTTTAGCTGTAATAATGAGAAAAATAAATTAATCTAAATGAACGCGCCGCCGCGTTTGTCGAACACTAACTCACCATGCCAGAATAAAACCCGACTTTAGAAAAATGCATAGGGCCACTCGGCGTGGTGTGCCAAAACACTTAATTATAAACTTCAATATTTCATTCAAAATAATCTCAACACGCTTTGTGAAATTTGAAAAGCCGTGCATGCATTAAGGCCACTGGAACTAATGAACAACTGAAACGCTGGTTTTGATTTTATTGTTTGTCGTTTAAACGTGCCTGTTGCATATCTCTATTTTATATATTTGATATTGGTGAAGTAGCCTATAGCATTGATTAGCTGTGGAGGGAGGGGTGTGGGGATTAAAATAATTCAGCAGAAGCAGGGATGCTTAGACCAGAAGGAAATCCCAGTCCCCCCTGGCAAATCACACTTTACTTAAAACAATGTTTTTAAAAACTCTAGGTTAGGGAACAGACCTCTCTGCCATGCGCGCGCACGGTTTGGAGCACAATATCTGTCTCGCATGCACGCTCGCTCTAGATAGATTACGGGATATTTTAACTAATTTGCGGTATAATAACTAGTCGATCACGAGTGGCTCAACAGGTATCTATAGATAAACTATATCCTTCAGGAATTTGACCGACCGGGTTGACACTTCAGCGTGAGAAATCGGGGGTGTGGCATGAGAGCCTGGAATAAAAAAAATAATATATATATAGCCTATATATATAGGCTATATATAATTTATTTTTTTACAGAACTGCTTTTGAAATTACGATTGGTAGCCTATTATTATACAGATGCAAAGTCGTTCTGTTGGATACTATTTTGTTTTTTTGTATTTTTACTTTTCATTTCATCCTTAGGCTACTGTTAATAGACATTAGCCCCACTTACGTTTTGCTAAATGTCCCTTTGCGCCACCTGGCGGTCATTTCGCGAACGACTTTGCAATGCGACTGGTTTATTTTTACCGCGGTGGATGGCTAAAAATGGTATGTGGATGGCTAAAAGGTGTGACTATAAATGTGCTTTTGGCTTTCATTTAAATTTTGATTGTTTGTATATATATATATATATATATATATATATATATATATATATATATATATATATATATATGTGTGTGTGTGTATAAACATTTATTTATTTATATACACTACCGTTCAAAAGTTTGGGGTCGGTACGATTTTAAATACTTTTAAAAGAATTCTCTTCTGCTAACCATGGCTGCGCTTATTTGATTAAAAATACAACAAAAATCAGTTATAGTATTAAATATTATCTCCAGTGTAAATCAGCTGTTTTCTGTGTGAATATATAGTAAAGTGTAATTTATTCCTGTGATCAAAGCTGAATTTTCAGCATCACCAGTGTCAGTGTCTTCAGTGTCAAATGATCCTTCACAAATCAGTATAATATGAGGATTTGATGCTCAAGAAACATTTATTATTATTATCAATGTTGAAACAGTTGTTGGTCTGTCAGTTGTACAGTTTTTTTGTTTGTTTTAGGATTCTTTGATGAATAGGAAGTTCAAAAGACTTTTGTAACATTATAAATGTCTTTACTGTCACTTTCGATCAAATTAATTATTCCTTGATAAATAAAAGTATTGTTTTCTTTCCTCCAAAAAATAAAAATAAAATTCTCACTGACCCCAAACTTTTGAACGGTAGTGTATATATATTGTCCTTGCATTCTTTCTTGTGTGACACCCCTGCATGAAAGGCTCATTAGTATGCAGACTGCTCAGGTGAGAACTGCCTAATTATTCATGAGGGGGTTGGGCCGTTCCGCCCATCCGCATATTGCCTTTGCAAACAAAAAAATGTTTTTCACAATTTAAAACAATCTATTGTTTTATGTGAATGATAAGGCAGAATGATTTTCAGATCAATTTGAAGAAAAAACTCTAGGCGACAACATCCACTAGTCAAAAGTCTTGTGGACAAATATTTAGTATGTTATTTGTGGCCTTATATTATAAAAATCTTTATTTTTTAGTTTTTTCAATAACCACGCATAAACAATATTCTCTCAAAAATACAAACATGTACATACATGTTGCTCACATATTATGGTAGCCCTGTGTGTGCTATATAGAGTGTAATTTCAACTGTGCCATTAATATGTTTATGAGCAACTGAAAAAAGCACAAATGTCAGAGCATGCCAAAACATCTCAAGGACCCCGAAAACACCTCAGACCCCAGAGGGTTAAATGAAAACCCTTCACTAAATGAATGTTGCCTTGGCAGTAGTGTTCATTTTACCAGCTATTTTATTTTTATTCCTGAGTCAAAAGTATTTTATAGTTATCACATTTAGTCAAACTTGTTCTGCTTTTGTTTAGTTAGTAAAAACCGTAAGTAATTTTGTCATGCAGCATAATAGTTAAATCAATTATTTGCTAAAAATTATAATTGCAACTTTTTTTGTCAATTAAGAAATTAATCAGAATTATTGCACTTTTTCCATTTAAACAACAGCAAGGAAAGATGTTTGTGTTGTCACAGAGGTTGCGTATGCAGGACCGTGACCCTCTGGGAAAAGGTTTGGACAGCCCGTCATAGAGGATTGTACAGAAGCCTGTTCTATTTTTTCTCCTCTTTTTTTTGGGATACAAATAAAGACAAATTTTGGTTTATTTTTACCTACATTTTTGTCTCGTCTTTCTTTGTCAGCGATACTGCATGTTGATATTGCCACAGTTATCGTTTAATGACGTCATTGAAGAAAAGCTCGGCGACCAACATTTTTGGTCATAGTTTTCATTAACAAAATGAACCACTGGGCAACTAATTCAAATAAGTTGAAGCACTGAAATTACTACCTGTAAATGAAAACTAAAACTGAAAGCACTGAAATTACTATATATATAAAAAAAAAGAAAAATGAAAAACTAAAATGAAACCCCCTCATTTCTTTTTTCGGCTACGTACTTCCAAAAAAGCTGGTAAGCTTTTCTTTGACTGTTAGCCTTTTTAAGACTGGCCATCTTCTGACATTACACTCTGACACAGTGTTAAACGTAGTTGGCGTTACCCATTGTTGCGGGTGTATTATTGACATGTAAAAGTCTAGACCCTGAATATAAGACAACCACATTTTTTTCAGATGCATATACAAGAAAAAACCCACTGTCTTCTATTCGGAACAATACAGTGATATTATGTTCGTGATAAGCGAGGAATATGTGCGCTCACTGTTTGCAGATGGTGGGCTTGGACGTCCACTCCGCTCGGTCAGAGCTCCCGGTGTCATCCACCAACGTGCCGTCATCGCTGCACTCATCCTGAAAACACAGATAACAAGCCACACATATCAACGTGAGAGAACTCTTGGGTGAAGAAAAATAAACAGCAATGTTGGAATCTAAAATATGTTCATTACAATTTCTGTTAGTCAGAACAGCCCAATGTTACCAGCTGTGTGCATCAATAACCTTTTCCTTAAGCATTTACACTAAGAGTCAAAGAGTTTACGACCGGTAAGAGTTTGTAATTATTCTGAAAGATGTCTCTTATGCTCACTAAGGCTGCATTTATTTGACCAAAAACAGTGAAATATTTTATTATAATATATTCCTGTGATCAAAGCTGTATTTTCAGCATCATTACTCCAGTCTTCAGTGTCACATGATCCTTTAGAAATCACTCTAATATGAGGATTTGCTGCTCAAGAAACATTTATGAATATTATCAATGTTGAAAACAGTTGTGCTGCTTCATATTTTTGTGGAAACCGTCATATATATTTTTTTCATGACTTTCTGATGAATAGAAAATTCAAAAGAACAGCCTTTTTTTGAAATATAAATCTTTTGTAGCATTATAAATGTTGTTACTGTCACTTTTGATCAAATTTAATGCATCCTTGATGAATTGAGAAGTATTAATTTCTTCCAATCTTACTGCCCCCAGATTATCCAAACTGAAGTGAGTTACCGGACATGAGCTTTGGTCATCAGAGTATTGGGAGTCGTCTGCTCCGTAACACTCGATTATTCTGTGTAAGCCATCTGCAATAAAAGCCAAACAGAAGTCAAGCAGTGAGACTCGGGCGCGACGGCCTCCGCTGACGTCTGCTCACCCGTGTACTGCTGTCGGGTCACGTCCGCGGCAGATCTGTGCGGGACGGCCTTGTGCTGGCTGTGGTCCTCCAGCTCGTCTGCGCCTGCAGCTGTGGGCGGCCCGCCGGACGCCGCAGGGCTGGGGACTGGAGCTTGAGGCTGGTACAGTGGGTTCGGCTCAACATGAGCCTTCTCAAGACCCGGAAAACAGATTATGGCCAGATACCAGTGAGCACTAGACGGACATAGAAAGACGGGTCATGAGATTACAACATGATAATATGGGAGTATTATTTTTGTATCATTGGGATACTGTTATAGTTTTTAGTACTATTTTTTAATTAGATTTGGTGTTTATATTTCAATTTCAGTTAAAAGTTTGTCACTTTTTATGTTTTTTTTTGTGCAAGTGCCCCATTTTGTTGAAGTGCTCCATTATGCTTTTCCCAATATTATCCTTTCATGGAGTGTGTAATGTAGCCGTTTGTGAATGTAAAAGGTCTGCAAAGTTTCAAAGATCAAAGTGCACGAAGAATAAAGCTTTTGTCTCCTAAAGAAAGAATCGATTCTGAACTGTTGAAACGATTCGTCAGTAATTCCAGTCTCACTTCCTGTTACAAATCTACATAACAAATTTGCATAACGCCAGCCTATGGTCTTCATTGGCTCCCTGAAAAAAAAACAAAGTCTATTTTGACACTCAAACACTGTAGTTGTATCAGAGACTTGAAGAGTTTGGTTCGTGTTGTCGACATGTCGAGAAGACCAATCACAACAGACTGAGCATCCACAACCATTCAGAGACTGAGCATCCACAACCATTCAGAGCAGAGTCGACCAATCACAACAGACTGAGCATCCACAACCATTCAGAGCAGAGTCGACCAATCACAACAGACTGAGCATCCACAACCATTCAGAGCAGAGTCGACCAATCACAACAGACTGAGCATCCACAACCATTCAGAGCAGAGTCGACCAATCACAACAGACTGAGCATCCACAACCATTCAGAGCAGAGTCGACCAATCACAACAGACTGAGCATCCACAACCATTCAGAGCAGAGTCGACCAATCACAACAGACTGAGCATCCACAACCATTCAGAGCAGAGTCGACCAATCACAACAGACTGAGCATCCACAACCATTCAGAGCAGAGTAAATTAATCACAACCGACTGGGCCGTCTGACCAATCAGAGCAGAGGCGGCTCTCGGAAAGGAGGGGTTTAGAGAGACTGAATCTACAAACGAACCGTTTTCAGACACTGTGATACAATAGGTGATGTGCAATGTATATTATGAGCAAGTTTAACATGTTTTCTGAGGTTTGATGCATGTAAATCTATTGTAGGAGACTCCTAAACAAAACTGGGAACCTTTAAAATAGCATAATAGGTGCACTTTAAAATGTCTATATAGTTAAAAAATATATATATTTATGTTTTAGTTTGAGCTATTTTACACATCGAGGTAAACTGAATGAAAATGGGAAAGTTTGCCTTAGCAACCGACTGAAATGAAATAATTTTAAGATTTTGGTAACACTTTACAATAAGGTTAATTAGTTAACTACATTAGTTATCATTAACTAAGAATGAACAATACTTACTAATATTTACAAATACTTTATTAAAATCTTGTTAACATTAGTTAATGCACTGTGAACTAACATGAACAAACAATGAACAGCTGGATTTGTATTAAGTAACGTTAACAAAGATGAACTAACCATGAGCAATACATTTGTTACTGTTTTTGTTAATGTTAGTTAATACACTAACTAATGTTTAATAAATGAACCTTATTGTCAAGTGTTACCAAGATTTTATATTTTACTTTATATCAATTGACTTATTTTATTTCAAGTGAAACCATAAAAAAGTTACTTGTTTAATTAGTTTTAATGAGCCCGCACATCACAAACACTAAGCATTTGAAGCAAGGCTATTTAACGTTAAAAATAACAAAACATTCATGCAAACAAAAAGCAATTCATGATATCCATTTGCCTTCTGAGCGATTTAAGCTTGAAGTACTACTTTCATTTAAATCACAATGAAAGACATTCACATGTATCTTTCCTCCAAGTAACTGATGGTCAAATGTAGATAAACACTCACGACTCATTGATGGGCACAAAGATGAAGTCTTTCTGGAAGAGATCCACGTGACGTGTCCATGTCTTCACCCTGTTGTGTTTCCTCTTCTGAATGCTGAAACACATGAAAATGAGTCTCAGCACAGTAAGCGAGCTCCGGGAACAGGCGAATATCTGAGTAAATGACGTAAGCTCACGGTAAGCTGGACGTGTCGGCTGCGTTTCTCCGCTCTCTTTGATTGAGTCTCTTATAGAAGAATGAGCTAAACACATGACTGCGGACAGCATCTTCCTTCTTTAACTTCTCCAAAAACAGATATCTAGTAGCAGACAGCACACATGCTGATCAGAACATGTCAAAGGTCATACTAGATCAAGTACACCCCATGAGAAGTCTATTTCTGGAAATCAAGGAAATATAATTGAACTTTTACTCGCCAGCGTTTAAAAAAAAGAAAAGTTGCCTGTATTTTTGATAATTTTCACAAAAGTTTCATGGCCCCCAGAATATTTTGTTGTATAAATAACTGAACATGTCATATATCAAAAGAAAGAACAGAGCATCTGCTTAAAAACAAAAAAACAAACAAAAGAAAAGTTTTTTTTTTTAATCAACACTTGAATGTGGATAAGTTTCATTAAATCTTGTTTTTGTCAGACTACATCTGGATCATATTCAGAACGATGATCAAACACAGATAGAGTATATCGAGTCCATCAACACCCCCAAAGCTTCACAGTCCTAAAGCTCGTCCTGGGTCGACATTTCATTGGGTTTGACGTCACAACTTTACATTTTCCGTCGGTCTTAGTGCACGATGTAACTACAGAAGAGTCAAGTTTTAAATAGGAAAAATATCGAAACACTTTGGTCATTTTTTTATGAGAAATGCTAATGGTCTTGTCCACTTCAATGATGTATGCTAAGCTATGCTAAAAGTGGTACCGCCAGAACCGGAGATCGGCTGAATGGATTCAAAAACGGTAAAACTCAAGAGTTTAACTCTGGGGGAGTTGTAAAATGAGCCTATTTCCAAAAAAAGTGGAGTATCCCTTTAAGGAAAGACATTTCAACCGTACATCTTCGTAATGATTTCAGCAGATTAAAAGACACTGACATTTCAATTTCTTGTGCAGAAAAAGTTAGTACACCCATTCACCACCCATTAATCTCTACATCAACTGCCAAATATTTGGCACATGCACTGATTAGTAGAACACCCCTTATATAAACCATTAAAAACTCAAGTTGAAGCCGAAATTTGAAGTACATAGTGGGAGTATTATGCCCACATCAAACAAGCTGCCTGAGAAGCTCTTTAAGAGAGATTTAAAGACACTTCTAAGGGGTCCTTTCTTTGTCATCTGTATGCGAAAAATGCAAAGAAAATTCAAATTTTCTGTTATTTAGTACATTGCTGTCATGCAAGCGTACCCGAAGATTGTAAAAGAAGAAAAGGCACCAAAAAAGGAGAATGTTTCAGACCACTGGCAATCTGTCTAAACCAAATATTCCCCAGAGAAGTTCTCCAACCACTGTGAAAACCAACCCTGAATCACAATGGTGTGATTGTTATGGATTGGTTGCCACAACTATCAATTCCACAGTACCTAAAGGGCTTGAGAAGAGCGTAAGCCCATCTCTAAACAAGTTGAAGCTGAACCATAAGTGACCTTTTAACAGGATCATAAATATTCAAGCAAATCCACAAAGAAATTGATAGTTTTGGAATGAACATGTCAAAGTTGCAATATCATACAGTTAAAATACTGCTTTAAACCTCTTCAATATCACACAAGTGATACTTCTGCTAGTTTAAACACTCATATGAGACGCCTACAATAAATTAGGCATCTGCCAAAGGGATCAATATTTTTTGCTGAATTAAACTATCACTTTCGCCAATCAATAGCAATTCAAATGAACCAAAAGTCCCTGAAATTCAAATGTCCTAATAAAACTTTAGTATTAATATGAAATGCCCACATGGGACAAAACCTTTCATGGGGTGTACTTGTTTTTTCAAAGCAATGTATTTAATCTGAACACTCAATATTGATTGAAATAAAGATAATGACTTTAAATAGAAGTCAATGATGACGTCGTTGAGAAACTCTCCATCGTTCAGACAGTGCAGGTCCTCATTGGTTACAGAGATTCCTCCTTTAGCAGGTGGTGGGGGGTAAACCAGCAACCTACAGAAAAACAACAGTAACAACTTAAATGCGGCTTTTACTGGTTTGTAGATGTATAGAACATTTTATTTGTTTCACGTGGCATTTGAGCAAGCCAAATATTTTTTCCCGGTCCGGCCAGTGGAACAGATTTTCACTTGCAATAATGATGATTAAAAAAAAGCTACCGTTAATGTCTTTCTTTAATCCATGCAACGCTGTATTGCAATGACTAAGGTTGTTATGACACCAACATTTTAGATAACAGTGAAATTTCGATACCGCAGCGAAAACTACTAGCCTGTTAAACTGTTATAACGTACAGTTTATAACAGTCATTCACGTAGGACAAAACAGACTGTTTACATGAATACTCCACACAATGTGCATTTCGACATAATTGTGTGTTAATTTGACCATTCAAGCGCAATTACATGCATCTGAGAGGCGGCATCAAGTCATTTTCACCAGTGTTAATTTCGTTGACGAAAATAACGACGAAAATTATTCGTCAACGACATTTTTTCACAGACGAAAACGAGACGATAACTAAATAAAACCTAGTTTTGAATGACAAAGACTATGACGAAAATCTATTGACATTTTCGTCAACGAATAAAAACTAGACGAAAATGTTAGATAGTGACGATTTGGGAAGCGATCCGTCAGAACTGATGTCCTGCGTGTGTGGTAGATGCGCACATTTGTAGGCTACTGTAACGTGATCTACCCCGCGGTCATAAAACGTTAAAAAATGTGAACGTCTGGGAGAATGAGTAGAGCAGACATATAGATCTCTGAATAAGAGTGACGATGCAAAAAAGAGCTCTATTCGGTGCGGTTTTCTGTGCGCACACACCTAACCCGAAGCGTGCAGTCATGCACAATACACCTACAGCGCGCGAGTAGGCTACTGAATTGAGCTCTCTTTCGTGTCTGAATGGAGAAATACACAACAGTATGTCTAAATGTCCTTTTTGGAGAATATTCATGTAAACTATGCTGCTTATGTCTTAAACTGTGAGTGTGTCGGATGTGCATCAGTGCAATTGTATCCGCATGTCATTGGACATGATCCGACGTCTTAAAGTGACAGTGGCAATAAACCTAATGCGGTCCGTGTCCTTAATTTTGATCAAGCAACAAAAGAAAAAGAGAAAAGCATTCACTGTTTGTTAATAGCTTTAATAAGGATTAATTATATTTAATTCATACAAATAAATATGTCTGCTTGAAAGAATAAAGAATGATGTGTAAGTAGTTATAAGGAATGAATATATCATTCATTGTAAAGAAGACTGTGTTGTACTTTAGGAAAAGTGGTTTTATTTCCTTTTAAGATATTTTTTAAGTAACAGCAGTTAAATCTGTATCTGTATTGCATGTTCAAACTTAAAAATCATTCATATTAACAGGTTAATAGATGTTTTCTCCGGGAGTATATGGGTTTGGAAATTTTAGAGAAATTCTAAATTAACGCATTACAATTGAACTAAACCCATTATATTTTAGTCGACTAAATCTACTGTAGATTTAGTCGACTAAAATGTTATTGTATTTCGTATGACTAAAACTAGACTAAAACTAAAACAATTCAGATGACTAAAATATGACTAAAACTAAATGGCATTTTAGTCAAAAGACTAAGACTAAAACTAAATCAAAATTTGCTGACAAAATTAACACTGATTTTCACCAGAAAATCTAGTTAGGGACCGGTCGGTATTTATGGAAAGGTCCACCGGTGGAAAATAGGGGAGGGTCATGTCTTTTTATTCTTTGTTGAGGGGAGGGTCATCCAACTTTTTTTTTAGTCTAGGGGGAGGGTCACCCAACTTTTGTATTCATGAAAACAGCTAAATTTCAAAGTGGCTTGTTTGGGGCATATTTTTTCCATGTAGCTCTCTCGGTCTCGGCCCCCCATCGCTATCAGATGGGTCTGACCCAACAAAAATCCAGTTTGGCGCTGTTTGACAGTGCGCGCGCACTTCAGTACGCGCTCAGAAAAAGTGCATTAGAACAGAACGCCAATGAAATGTTTACCCGGCAAAGCTTTAAAGCTCGAGCAAATAATGAACTTTTGTGATTGCGAATAAGTGCAGTGTCCTGTGATTGTAACTCTACCGCTGCATTAACATGTGATGTGAATGTACGTCGAGTTTTACAGAATTGGGACTGAGGCGCCAGAACTGCAGCTGATATAATGTGCGCTGTAGCACGATACTACCATATTTCAGTTTCCATTCTTATTGTGTTTCCACAACAATATTAGTGAGTAAATCTACTGAAATTGCCACCATAGCAGTGGAGTGTGATGTGTTAGACGTAGGGCTACCACATTTTTAAATTACTATTAGTATTATTTGAAGTTAACGTAATAAAATACGTAGACCTACACCAAAAAAACTAGTTGAGGATAAATTCTTTAAAATTGGGCAATTCCAGCATTATTGACGTGACATTTGCAGTCAAAACTTGAAATATAAATTCTCAGAAAATGCATTAAATACCGAAACATTTGATATTTTTCTAAGTATGAATATATAAATAGTCTACACATTTATACACGTTTTATATTCGTGGCCAGCAGCCATATCACCCTGTAGCCCAAGACTGGTTGCCCACTAAAGCTAAGCAGGTCTGAGCCTGGTTAGTACCTGGATGGGAGACCTTCTGGGAAAACCAGGTTGCTGCTGGAAGAGGTGTTAGTGAGGCCAGCAGGGGGTGCTCACCCTGTGGTCTGTGTGGGTCCTAACGCCCCAGTATGGTAATGGGGACACTATACTGTCAAAGAGCACCGTCCTTCGGATGAGACGTTAAACCGAGGTCCTGACTCTCTGTGGTCACAAAAAATCCCAGGATGTCTTTCGAAAGAGTAGGGGTGTAACCCCGGCATCCTGGCCAAATTTGCCCAGTGGCCTCTGTCCATCATGGCCTCCTAATCATCCCCATGTATATACCAATTGGCTTCATCACTCTGTCTCCTCTCCACCAGTAAGCTGGTGTGTGGTGAGCGTTCTGGCGCAATATGGCTGCCGTCGCATCATCCAGGTGGATGCTGCACATTGGTGGTGGTTGAGGGGATTCTCCCTTCTATGTGAAGTGCTTTGAGTGTCCAGAAAAGCGCTATATAAATGTGATGAATTATTATTATTATTATTATATTTAATATGAGGGAAATACACATGTGATGTGACACAAAAAATCTTTAACTTTTAGGTGGCAAAATATTTTTTAGTAATTCTATGAACTACGCTGCAAAAAACAAAAGTAATACTACCCACTGGATGAAGAAGGGTCGGCCTCCACATAACATAAAATATTTGTTTTATTTTATTTTTTGTGTTCGCATTTATGAGGGGAAAACATTTTTTATGGACGTGACAGTTCTCCGTTACGGACATGACCGCTCTGAAAGTGACATTAAAACTTTCACAGAGACCTAACAGAAAGCACAAAGCCTTTCTTTAAAGTGCAGTGTTTCCCCTACCATTGTTTTGGGGGGACGGCCCGCCCCCCCCAAAACGACCCCCCGCCCCCCCTAAATTGCTGACGAAATCCAGTCATAAAAAATAAATTTACTGTATAACGCGGAATTTCATGGAATTTGTCAATCTTTTGAGGAATAAATAGAAAACAGTTCAGTATACACTTGAAATCAAATCGCGATGTAGACTAGTGTGTGTGGATATTAAACCACAAAGACAATTTAAATACGAATCCTGCTTGTTCTGTGTGAATGAATGGTGCAGCCGACGCGCAGTTTCATTTACCACACACACACACACACTAGAGGTCCGCTACCCGACCCGAGCCCGACGGGTCCCGAAAAAGGTGCGGGTTTCGGGTCGGGTTCGGGTTAATGTTTAATGAACAGCCTCGGGTTCGGGTCGGGTTCGGGTTTAACTAAGAAAAACTAAATAGGCTATATATAGTTTGCGTGCCGTGTGCTTTGCCTGCTTGCTGTGTTGTGGTGACCGGCACGCGAGAGAGAGAAAGTACATACGTGCGCAGATGTGCAATATGTGCATACACACAGACACACAGGCTCTCTCTCTCAAATATAATGATAATGATAATGATAATTTTTGTTTTATTTTATCATATGATTTGCGCATGAGCGCATGTAGGCCTACCGCTCTCGCGCACTATTTCAGTCACAATACAGACAGACAGCAGACGTGAAAAAATGGTATTTGCTGTGAGAAACAGAATGGACCTCGCGGGTTCGGGTCGGGTTCGGGCTTAATATGTAAATGTAATTGTCGGGTCGGTTCGGGTCGGGTTAAATGATCGCGGGTACGGGCCGGGTTCGGGCTTCAGTTTAAAGCCCGTGCAGACCTCTAACACACACACACTGAAGCACGTGTGACGCTTGCGCTGTTTTTTTGCCTATGAAGACACAAATGCATAAACTTCCTCTCCAGGCTCTAGATCCACTCTGAAAGTCACTTCGTGATCATTTAAAGTAACAACAGGTCGTTTTTTGCTCTCGGGCTCCCCCTACAGTTGGGAAACAGTATTGTCCTCTACTACTGTCGTAAACTGTCATCCTACATGCACGTGCATTTGTTGACAACCATGATAGCCCTGAACACTGTAGGAGGAGGTCACATGCAGGTGTTCTCGCGTGTGTGAAATGTCTTCATCCCAGGTACAGTGGCATATATTTCAGCATGTCATATGAATATAATTTCATGTGTTTTATTTTTTTTATAACGACAAATGATCGCGTTTACAAGCCAGCGTCATTATAGTAGCCTAGTCTATTGGTTACCGTTTTACTGAATCTATATGATACTTCAATGCAATGTTTGAGTGGTTGATAATAACCATATAGCGTCAATATTATAATATCAAGCTACCATAAATGAATCTGCAAATTTTACAAATCGATTTGCATTATAGCTTGAGGCAAGACAAATAAACAAATATCACAGACATGTTAGGTATCCTAAAATATGATTTTATTAATAATCTTCCTCCTTTCTTTGTACATGTTGAGTAGACTACACTTTTTAGGTCAAACATTTGCTATTTGCATTTCATCGATTGCAAAGTTCAAATCAGAACGAGAATACTAGCGATAGCTAACCATCAAAAACTAGAATATCGTTTACTAGCTACCAGATTGATAATTCGCTACTACTCTAGCGAATTAGAGAGGTTAGAGAGAGGCATTCTTTTTTCGATGGGGGGTTCGATGCTCCCTGCACACGCAAGGTCTCTCGCTCGCTTTCTCTCTCTGCCGTCCGCGCGCGTTGGAGCACAGTCTCTGTCTCGCGTGCGCGCTCGCTCTAGATTCCGGGAGATTTGAACTAATTTGCGGTATAACTTGTCGATCACGAGTGGCTCAACAGGTAGATCTATAGATAAACTCATCTTTCAGGAATTTGACCGACCGGGTTGACAATTTAGCGTGAGAAACCGGGGGTGTGGCGTGTGAGTGTGTGAAACCAATCAAATGCGGGTGTCTCACGGCCAATGCGTGAGTTGGCAGCTCTGCAATGTTGATCCTCGTTCTGCCTTTAACGCGATCACTTTCTCTTTTTCTCTTTTTGCTTTGCTACGATAAAACCTTTGCTTTCTTGTTTTTCTGTGCTGCTTCGGCCATGACTATAACATTTGGCTCGCACGTCCGATTTTAAGGAAGTGGGGGTGGTGGTGGAAGTGACGTATATGCCGTAAAGCAGTCGAATTTTGTAGTTCTCTTTGTTCGCCGGTTACTACCCGAAACCCGAAGTTTAAAAGTACGATTAAAAACGCTACAGACCCCGTCAGGCTATGGCAGACGTGTCATTCAACCTATTGTAAGTCGATGTACCATCACAAGAGACTTGGAAATATATTATGAAGGCTGAAAAGTTACCTGTTGTTACTTTAACCGCTTCATTTGAGAAAAACTATCATTATGACAAACACACAAACTCAAAAGGTCTTCACGGCAACCCGTCAAAATAAAAGTTTGGTTTAACTTGACAGAGATATATATTACCGTTGTACAGTAGAATTTAGACATGTCCCAATGTAATAATACTAACACTAATCCAAATAAATTATCATCAAAACTGAATTTAAGGAATAATCCATGTTTTAATTTTAACAGTAAAGCTCATTGTGCAGCACGTTATTTGACAAAAAGTTTATTTAATTTCATATGATTAAAATTGATGATAAATGATAAAATTTGTGTTTTGTCTTCATTTTATTACCAGAAAAAAACACAACACAGAATTAGTGTGAAATTTTTTTTTTATATATTTTTTTTAAAATGTTGTATACGTTTAATGATTTATAATACACTATTTCAATTAATTAGACATGCTTTTTGATTGCTAAAAAATTGACACCACGTATCCGTAACACGCCCGCTCCGCAACACTAGCAGTCCCCCCCCCCCCCCCCTTGAAAAAAAATCCTAGGGGAAACACTGAAGTGAATTTAGTTTTTTATTAATTGTATCTTAATTTTAGTCAATGTTTCATCAACCAATTGCCTGGATTTAATAAATAAGAAGTAAATATAGTAGAAAATAGATCATCATGACACGGGTTGCCGGCGCGTGAACTGGACTCTCGTCTAATAAATGAAACTCAGCGTATAAGGTACTTGCCTCACAGACCTGATAAATATATAGAAAGCTTGAAATGTCTACTTTTTAACAGAACAATTCAAAACGAAAGAAAACAGACTACAGACTGCTCTTTGCTTGTGTAATCCGTATGAAATGTGCATTTCTCTCTGGCGCGTTCACTACTCAGAAGATCGCGAGTCAGCATCGTCACCTTTATATTTGCAGCCAATACTTACAAAGACTTGTTTATTAATAAACAATTAAAATGTCTCCTTGCTATATTTGACATATTCATAATCATTACTTTTGCCGGTTCTTTGTGGCAGCTTTTAGATACTTTATTGGCAGCGCCACCCTTACATTTTACATGAACGCGTCACCAGTGCATCAGCACCGAAAACATGATTTTTTTTTTCAAGTCAAAAATCGTGATACGAACCGAATTGTAGGTTTGGTCTATCGTTACAGCCCTAGTAAATTGAGAAAGCAGGAGTTTAGTCGTTTGTCATGGTTGTAAAAAAAACAATGGCTATCTGAACATCTTTGCCAAGAGCAAACCAGTACAGAAGTAATCAATAAATTATCAGGGAGGGTCATGCCTTTTTTCACAATCATTTTGGAGGGTCATAGAAAAAATTATTGCTGGCGAAGGGAAGGTCAAGTCTTTTTTGACTACAGATCTCAAATCTCCTCCGGCCCCCCCTTATGACATGTTGATTAAACATTACATGGTCAAAATATATAAAGACATAAAATGTATGCGAGGATGAATCGTTCACAATAAGATTAAAATGCATTTACAAAATAGAAGTAAACATTTGAACTAGGCCAGGGCGATTTTTCAGATTAATTTAAATGTAATGTTTTGCCACGATTTTTTTTTTTTTTAATCGACAAATTGTGTTTTTGAATAAAAATATTAGCAAATGTTACAATTAGACATGTTGACAATACATCAATGTCAGTTAAGAGGAAAAAAAAGGTATCGACTACATGATGTCGCTCTCGTGTGAAGGACCGTAACACATCGCTGAACAAATGCAAGGATAACAGGCTTCTTTTAACTTGAGCGGCGTGTTGTTGGAACGCCGTTTCGTGAGCGCAACAGCCAGACATGTCTGTCAAGAGCATGTTCACATGGAAAAACAGCGCAGTGGAACGCAAAAACCTGCAAAGCACTACTTCTGCATGTTTGATATTTGATGTTTGCATGATGGTGACAGGCTGCAACGTGCTGTTATACTTTTAGTCATTTTGAATTGCCTTAAGTTTTTGGGGTTGACCTCTAAAACTGAATGTCTACTTTTTGGCTAAGAAATATTTCGCATTTTTATTATTTTTTTATTATTTCTGAACATACAAGTTAGCTTAAAATAAGTTTGTATGATATTCGCCTTCATATTTCATACATCTTTACTGCAAAGATATTTAACAAGTCATTTGTTTACACCATGTCGATCACTTGGTGAAACGTTCTGAAAAAAAAAAGAACAAATTTTTTTTTCCCTCAGATCGCCCAGCCCTAATCTGAACCACTGGCCTGACTGAGCTAGCAGTTAAAGTGTTATTATTGAGCCCTGTCAAAGCAAAAAAAAGGAAGGCTATAAACCAAATGTGCCGCATGAAACATGCAGAGGTAATGGGTCTTACTTGACGATTGGACCAGTGAAGGTTGGCTGGAGCTCTGCCATCTCATCCTCCTCTTCGCAGAACTCCAGGAGCCGGGCAGACATGCGTGTTTGGAAACTCGGCACTGCCGACGGGACGGGGACTGTTGGGGCTGGATTTGCTGTTGCCACGGTAACCGTCACAACCGAAAAGGATGCCGAGGGTGATGAAGGTGAAGGTGTTGCTGATACTACAGTTTTGTCTTCTTTAACCTGAGGTGAGGGACAAATATTGGCACCTTTAACACAACAAACATCAAGTCAGAATTATTATAAAAGAGCGTAACATAAGTCACCTTTACTTTTTCTTTGGAGGCTTTATTGTACTCGACCAGTCTAACATTGGCCTCATCAAAACCAATCTTCTTAGGGAAATCTGGCAGTTTGTTGTTTCGGCCGATTTCAGCAAGGATATCCTCCAGAATCATTTGTTCTTGCATCGAGGGGCCGCACTCGAAAATCAACACAATATACTTCTCATCGTCTGAGCATCAGCAGAACGAGAAAGGGGAAATCAAAGAGAAAACTCAGATTTAGTCCAAATGCAAGCAGTAAAATCACCAACAAAGATGAAACCAAGAAAATGAAGTGACCTTGAAACAAAATCACTACCAGCTCTGAGCAATTGTACTTTAATTTCTCAGCGATGAAAACATGACAGAGCTCACGATTTTTGTGTGGGACATTTCTTCTATCGATCGTGTCGAAAAAACGTATACTTCTGGGGCTATAAACATCTGCACTATTGATGAATCATTAACTCATTGGACATTTACAATAAGCACATGTACAGTGGCTCCAAAAGTGTCAGCATCGGTCTGCGCCGTCAGCCCTGACCAATAGCAGGACACACTTTGTCGGATCAGTGTGCTTCCCTGTCTGCGTCTGTTGGTGTTGGTCGCCGCTTGATTTCGTAGACTGAACATGTTGATTCGGCATAGGGCTGCACGATTAAGCGAATTTTAATCACGATCACGATTTTGGCTTCCCACGATCAAATTCGCGTGATCGAGTGATATTTAAAATGCGTCATTCCGTTCACAGAACGCTCCGTATCAAAGGGGTTTTATTTGCACTGCCAATCTAGCGCTCCGTAAACCACTGTCTGATCACGTGCCTCCATGAGCCCCAGTGCACGAGAGAGACCGAGTGTGAGCATTAGTAAATTGGTACATACTACATAGTAATGTATAATTACTATATAAGAGGCATGAAAGTTCGATTAGTGGACTCCAATAATCATGTACTACAAACGCCTTGTTTTGAACTATTGTTTAATAAACAGAATAATTCGAGCACAAAAACTTTCATATGGAGGATTAAACAGATTCGATTTATGCAGCAAGACTTCACAACTAATCACTGACACTGTACCACAACATTTTACATTTCTTAAGCGTCAAATAACAATGACTCTGAATTTCCTCCATTAATCGAACTTCCATAGTGCAGTTCTGCCTTGACATGTTCTCATTTGGTTACATTCTGTTATGGACTATTTGGTTTTTATTGATTGTATATTTTGCGCGTTTTATTCACATCCATTATGCAGGTACAATGCAAGTTTATATTTTTGCTTCCTAAAATATGTTTACACAATGTAAAATAGTGCCCTGTTGAAGTTTTGCTACATTTTTTTTATTGTTTTCTCTATTTTTCTTTATTCTTTAAGGAGATGCACTGAATTTTGGTGAATAAGAGGACCTGTTTTATTTTGATGCACACAGTTGTACATTAGCAGGAATGCAGCACAATATGGATGTGAAAGCAGTTATAATTACCCTATGTGACAATAACATTTGTTTTGGTTAAAATAAACAAATAATCGTGATAATTAATCGTGATCTCAATATTGATCAAAAAAATCGTGATTATCATTTTGGCCCAAATCGTGCAGCCCTAATTCGGCATTTGTCGGGTTGTGGAAGTTAGGGCTGCACGATATATCGCTTTAGCACTGATATCGGGATGTCAAGTTTAACTGAGTTTAGTTGATCCGTACGGGCCAGCTGTCCCCCGGTTCGGAACGCATGTGATTTTCAGATTAACTACAAAGTTTAACCATCATAGAGTGAGTTTTTCATTTGCATGTGTTTTTAAAGCTGCAGTCCGTAGCTTTTCCTCTTTGTCGCCATCTCTCTGTTCGAAATCTGTAACTGCAGTGATTCGCGGAATTATCATCTTTACGTGGGTTGTAAATCGGCATGAAACAGCGCGGATGAACACAGTGCTTTGAGGCGAGTGCTGCTGTCAGTCACCGCGCTGTGTGGATACTGTCATACAGAATCACAGATTCACTTTTTGAAAGTTTGACCAACATAAGAATTTTCATAAGAAAATGTCTTCTGAACAAGTAACATCTATTTTTGTTCTGACCAACTAAGGGGGAAAAAGCATTCGACATGATAAGCTTCGTTAGATTTAATCAACGCGATTTACAGCAACCGTGCAAATTATAGCCTACTTTGTTCTCAAATTGTTCATGTTAACAACATCAGCATTGCGTGACTAATGTTAAATTTAATGTGTTTTATGGTTACCTGTGTAGTTCAGAATTCATATTCTCCATAATAGCAAAACGAGAAAGGCACAACAAAGGAAACTCCATAACTGTGTGAATTAAGAAAACGTACTGTTACACGATTGAACTATTGAAATGTCGTACTTGTTCAGCAGAAAAAAGCCGTCTCTTCTTCCGTTTCGAACCCCTTCAAAACACGGAGTTCACGCACTTTTCAAAAGCCCCGCCGATGTTTAAATCCTTGTGTTCGCATGAGACGGTTTCTTTCTCTTTCTCTAGCCACCTTAAATCCGAAGTACGAAGTCTTTTGGGTTTTATAACTGCTGAATCTCCAGTTGACACTGATGATTGTTGTTTGGATCTTTCTGGATGCCATAAGTTTAATTATGTAAAGTGCTGCGAGAAAAGCCTATACATCTAAACATCTCGTCACGCGCAGTATAGCCGGCTAGCCGAAACTCCTTCTTTATGTGTACGGGTGTGACGTCATGACGCAAAGACATGCTCGAATTTCCCGCGGAAACCCACCAGTACCACTGGAATTAAAATCATTATTACAAGCTAACCGTTTTGAATCTAGCTATGGCAAGCAGATAGTTTTGACCACTGGCAGAATAAGTTTTTTTTAATATAATTATTTTGGATTATTTTTAACTTAAAAAAGTTACGGACTGCAGCTTTAAGTTGAGTCAGGGATCAAGAGCAAGAGGACTCGCGCGCTGTTTTCTGTGCGCACACACAGAGCCGCGCAGACAGAAACCGAACTGAATTCGTCTTTCACATGCTCTTTCTTTTGAGCATATACGGTCTCGGCGAGTATCCTCTTGAACAGTCGGTTATGGGTTGTAAACAAAGAAAACAAATGCGTGTCATTTATATTATACCCGTGCATTCGTCCTTAAAGTGACAGCAGCCTAACGTACCCGCAGCCGTTTGTGTCACCAATAATGATCAACCAGCAAAAGAGAAAGAGAAAATGACTTGTAGCTTTAATAAAGATAAATTATATTAGTTATATTTCATTTAGACAGTGAAGACTGTTATTTTACATTTGAGTATTCAATTTCTGTCCCTGCAATTTGTTTATTTTCTATGCAGATTCACCTTACAAAACCACCCCAATTATTCTAGAATGATTCATTCTTTACAAATAGAGCTATTCAAATCATCTGGTGAAATTGTTTTTATATCTCATTATATATCGCAGAAAAACAAAATATCGCAATGTAAGTTTTGTCCAATATTGCACAGCTCTACTGAGAAGTGACACACTATAGTTTGTCTGTGTTGGTCAGTGAAGTGTGAATGGGCCTTTAGTCTGTTGCTGCATCTACAAGAAAGTGCTGCCAAAACCCCAAAACTAACTTTTTATGTGTGCACTGACCCATACATTAACATGTGATGCTTGTTTGATATGATTTAGTTCCGATACTCACTGTTGCCATTGCAGTCGTACCATATTCCTTCATTGTCCTTAGACATCTGCAGCTCAGCCTGTAAACGCTGGCACTCCTTATTGTTAGTCTGCAGAAAGAGAACCGGCAGCTTCCTGACGTTACACCACTCACATAAGGTCAGCTCAGACGACTTCAAATAAACGCTCTCCAACACGTCCTCCTCAGGACCTCCAAATCACAACACCACAGGGAAGAAATGACAAATGAGACTGGAGCAAACACGGAGTCTTATTTTACACATCACCAAGTCATACTAGTGACCTTTGACAACATTTTCTTTCTACTTTACTTTTATCTTACCTTCTGTCTCCAGCTGAATGTAGTCCACTGTAAACTAAAGGAAGAAAAAAACACTTCTGTCATGTCAACTCTCGGTGTGTTTGGCATGGTAATGGTAAATGAAAACAAATGTAACATTTGTTAAACAAAAATAAATGAAAAACATGCAGCTGCTGCTGCACAACATAGCGTTCATGAATTACCCGTAGCGGATTTATACAGCTGGGGAAGGAGGAGGGTTTCTGAAGTGCGCTGCACTGCTAAGGCAAATGCCAACTAAGTATTTGAAGGTTGAGCACGCAAGCTCATTGGCTACTGATATAGCAGGAACCAATCAGCTGTGCCCCTTAGACTGAGTTCACACTGCACGATTTTTAAAGTAGTCAGGTCACTGTTCTTTTCACACACTGCACGACGGTCTCAGTTGCTGATGTGTTCACACTGAACGATGGGTCGGCGACAGGAGGTTTCACACTGCATGACTTTACAAAAGAAAGAACTCGACAACTTCTGTTCGGTCCGCAAACTACGTTTCACAACCAAACACACGCGAGAAGTGATGAGGAAATAATGCAAGATCACGAGTGCGTGAGACCGGAGTTCTCGTGCGAGACTGAAATATTTGTCAAAAATGAATTCAAATTGTCTGCGCGCTGATTTGCAGCGAAAAAGAAAAACAGATTATGCAGGAGGAAATGGTTGGGGAGACGCGGGGAGCAAGGATTGCGAGCGAAAATCGAGCCAAAAATCGTTGTGCAGTGTGAACTCGGCATTAGAGATTGATGTGATTGCAAGCAGGTTGAGTTAAGGACCTGATCATGACAGAACTTTGTATTTCAAGGGATAGTTCACCCAAAAATGAAAATTGTGATCATTTATTCTTGCTCATGTCATTCCAAACCTGTAAGACTTTTATTCATCTTCAGAACACAAATGAAGATATTTTTAATTCATTGACAGCTACACAACCACCACTTTGACGCTTATAAAAGTGAATTAAGAGATCGTGAAACTAATACATTTGAATTGAGCAGTTTAGTCCAAATGTTCGGAAGAGACTCAATCGCTTTATACTATGAACAGACTGAATTTAGGCTTTTATTCACGTATTAAACGTCCCCAACTAAGCTATTAAAAGAACTGAACGTCAAGATCATCATCCAATTTGAGTATTAAAAAAAATCAAATCTAATTTCCCAATCCTGCAAATGCTCTGAAACAGGTGTTTGGTGTAAGTGATCTCACCACGACAGGTTTGGTGACCATCCTGCGTAGTGTGCCAATCCTCACGCTCCTGCACTCCAGAATAATACTGCCCAACACCGGCACCTGCTCCATTTTCCTCTTCTTAGCCGGAGACGGGTCTTCACACACAGTGTTCCCAAACTGCAAGAGAAATATACCAATGAAAAATCCAAACACAACACGAACAACAAGTGAACACACACTCTAAATCCTGTTTTCAGTTTTACAGATCTGCATGTTTCTTCAAATATAAACAACTTCAACTGCTCAATTCTACATTTAAATTGCACACATGGCTGTGTATGGCCCAAAAGGGCATTTTCGGTTTCCGGCCGAAAGACTTTTATCACCGAAACAATACGTTGTGATGACGCAAACAGAAACCGCGACCTGCACGTGCTTGTCTGAAGCAACATGTCTGCGGTGAGGACGTATATCAGTATATCTGAAACCGCGAGGAGACGGAAGCCTTGTTTATACTTTCGCCCGCCTCTGCAGCGCGAGTCTCCACAGACAGCGCGCGCACCTCTCCAAACGGTCGAGGCGTTTATACTTGACGCGCTCGCCGTTGTTCTATTCTTTGAAACGACAGAAGACGACTCAAGTAACTGTCCTCTAACCATCAGGAATCGGTGAGAAGAAGAAAGATAAACACGTGACAATGCTTATTTTTTAGTAAGTTATACCACCACCAATACAAAAATCATCATGTAAAACCCAGTAAACCCTGAGATTATTACTTGTGACATTACAAAAAAAATATGTACGGTATATGGGAACATGTATGTATACAACTAAATTAACGATCTCTTAAATATTTTGGTAACACTTTACTTGAAGGGGTGTACATAAGACTGACATGACACCTTCATAACCATGACATGACATATGTCATGAATATGAAGTAGGGTTTATGCATGTTTATGACAACTGTCATTAAGTGTCTTTCGCTCAATAATGACATTTTTAATGCAAATTTGACATTGTTTAAGATGTCTTTGTTATGACACCTTGACATAAACCATAACATCATAACCTGTCAGTGTCTTTGTCATGACAACTTGACATTAAATTAAGTTAAACTGTCATGTGGTTGGTTTTGACATTGGCTGTCATAAGTCCATTATAACTGTGTCATGAATATTTTTCGTGACCTCAACTACAGTGGTACAAATTGAATTTGTCATTAAACAGTTATAATGGCCTCATGACAGCCAATGTCAACACCAACCACATGACAGTTTAATGTAATGTTAACCAATAATTAATCTGCTATGTCATGTTTATGACAGGTTGTGTTGTCTTAGTAATGTCAAGTTGTCATGACAAAGACACTGACAGGTTATGATGTATTTGTTTATGTCAAGGTGTCATAACAAAGACATCTCAAACAATGTCATATTTGCATTAAAAATGTCATAATTGAGCGAATGACACTTAATGACGGTTGTCACAAACATGCATAAAACTTCCTTCATATTCATAACATGTGTCATGTCATGATTATGAAGGTGTCATGTTAGTCTTATGCACACCCCTTTAAGTAAAGTGTTACCAAAAGGCTTTTTATGCTATTGTATGCTCATTTTTTAAAATGTAATCAACTAATTTAGACGTGCAAACCGGGTGCTGGTGTGATGAGAAGTTCTGCTCGGCTTTGTTTTTATGAGAGAACATTTAATTTGAAAACCTTTCTGCAGGCCAGTAGATTATTATTTAATGTACACATGAGTGGGGTCAAGTTAAACATTTTAGTTTGAATTTTAGTTTATACTGTGCATTGTGCTAAATAAATATTTGCATAATTTGTAATTGATTTATTCTTTGAAAATGTTATATTAATTTAAGTAAAGTTTGTACACAGTCATAGCCATAAATGCAATGGTACTAACAATTGGCATAATTTCTTTCGGTGTTTCGGTTTTCGGCCAAGAATTTTCATTTCGATGCATTCTTAATATAAACATTTAATTAGTGGCTATCATAAAAACTTGTTTTCATGACAGATTTATTCAAACATACAATAAATGAGATGTCACTAACAGGTTCAGTAAAAATATAATGAATATGTAATATAAAAGAATGCATTATAACGCTCCCCTCTAGTTTTATTTCTAGGTACCGAGCTATGAACATTGAATAACTTTCTTGAGGTAAATGCAGCATTACATGAGTTTAAAAGCGGTGTTATTGTCGTCTTTCTGCAGTTGATTTGTTACTGATTGCTGTAACTAGTAAAGAGGACGTGATGATCTGCTCAACTGAGGCACTACAGCGATCTGTCACGCCACATTAAAGAGCGGCAAAAAGTTTTTTGTTTTTATTTTGTGATAAAACTGACAAAATTAGAAAGCTCAGATTTATTTTCATATCAAAAGTATCAAAGCTTATTGTGAATATTGGATGGCAGGTGCTCTACATATAATGTTTACTGAACTTTTGTTATTGAAAAAAAAAAAGAAAAAAAGTAGCAAACATGTAACAGTCCTTACTGAATCTCTCATTCGACTCCTCCTGGGCAGCGGGTTTCTGTGGTTCGCCTGTGTGAAAAAGTCAGCACTGGGGTCCTCGTGTTCCCCGGCTGCTTTCACCGCTGCTTCCACCCGGCCACCGGAGGGCGCTGGAGACGAGTGGGCAGAGTCCGCTGGCCTTGGAGACACGCTGTCTAAACGATTGACCGTCCCGGTGCTGCTGACATTATCACTATCTTCATCCTCATCACTGGACAGCACAACTGCATTTCATCAACACACACACACACAACACAGATCTGGATTACTGGTGTCATCTCATGACATTTTTTGGTTAAGCCTGATCAAAAATGCCTTTTAACTCATGATTAAACAGTTCTTGAACACAAAGAATATAGTATAATATTTATTCTGGAACGTTTATTATTATCAGTAACATTATTGTACGTTGCTTTGTTGCAAGTTGTATGTTCCTCTTCTTTTGTTATGCACTTGGGTCGATTCAGCCTTTTTGAAAGCAGGCGCATGCGGGAACACAGTCGGCTTTCTATCAGCGCTAGTTCTTTGGCGTCTTTTTGGTGTGTCCCTACTAGTATATCGCCAAGGCCGATAAGTTCTTCTGATTGGCCGATGTGTTGGAAGCTGGACTTCTAATCACACAGCGCTCACTCGCCTTTTTCCACCTTTGTTGCCATTGGCTTGGCTTGCTTAGTTGGGGACATTAAATTTAACATTTAATTTAATATTCAACAATAATATTGATCTGTCTGCATTGACACTATTATACAAGAACTGAACTGAGCTGGATGATGAAATCACGGTTTACTCCAGAGTGGCTATATATATATATATATATATATAATATAAATTAACTAAATTAATACCTTTTTTTCTTCACAGGAGACACCGTCGAAAAACTCTAAATCCCTAATTTTAAAATATGCTGTGCATCCAGTGTCCCACTGTGTCATATTCATATCGTTTTCACTGTGTGCTGTATGTAAAATTAGCGTTACCGTCTTTATTTGAAAAAAATATTACCAGTGCGCACGAAATTACCAGATTACTGAGTGCCCCGTTTACAGTGTTTATTTCATTTTTATTCACATATTCATATGTAACAATTACAATTACTTTATTTGTGAAAAATACTGTAATAGAATTGCAGATTCAAGATGTTGCCATCTAAAGTATAAGCATGTTTATTTTAAAGATTTGTTTTCTAATTTATTAAATATTGATCAAAATAAATATAATGTGTATATATCAAAATATCGGCCACCCTGGTCTCTAAGGGGCTGTTTACACCTGGCCACTTCATGCGTTTTCTCAGATCGGATAGCTATCTGATTTATCAAAACGATTACATTTACACCTGGTCACATAAATGTGTTTTTGCAAACCGGATATAAGTCCGATCTTCAATTCCCGTGCTATTATGCAGCTAATTTCAAAATCAAAGACCGCAATAAGAGAGAGCGGCAACAGCCCTGGTAAGATCATTTAGTTTCTTTACTTTTAATGATGATGATTGCGTGTTAAGCGTCTGCGACTTACTTTCACTTTGATTTGCGATAGTTTGCGCGTTGGCTTGATGAATAGACGCTCAGCTGCTCATCTGCGGTAATGCGTGTTGCAGTAGCGCCATCATATCTGACTATAACATGACATATAGCCTATAACATGCTCTCACACGTTTATTTTTTAGCATTTTTGGGAGGAGTAAAATTTACATATGTGGTTTGAACAACCAGATGCATTTACACTCGTCCAGTTTGGTCTGGAACGTGCCTCAGACCTCCTCCTGAAGTGGTTTGAGCGATCAGATTCAAATCCGTCTCGAATGCGCTTCGGAGGGCATTTACACCTGGTCTTTTCACGATCGGATAGCTATCCGATCACAGAAAACGCATGCAGTGGCCAGGTGTAAACAGCCCCTAAGGTATCGGCCATCAAAAAACCAATATCGGTCGACCGCTAGTCCCTTATGGACCACTTTTATGGTGCCTTTTGCTCCTTTCTAAGCAAAGCTAATCGAACCGGCTAACCCGAACACAACAACAACAACAAATGTTTGAGATGCTCGGTGTAGCATAATGTGATACGTGATGTAAGAGTTTGAAGTGTAGTCGTGCTTACTAGGGTCGTTTAGTTCACATAGTTTGGTGGCCTGCTGCTTCTTGCCTCCAGCTGGCTTGTGTCCGTTACACGCTGAGCTTCCAGAAGAGGCGACGGCTCGTCCATTGTGCGGGAGGAACATGTTTCCATGGGCGATCCGCACCGATGGGTTGATGATGACGTCCAGCTGTTGAGAGCACCCCCCAGAGGTGGGCTCATAAAAGCTTCTGCTTATCTGAAGGCTGGGCGTCTGCGCGGGACCCGAGGGCCGAGGGGGCAGTGATGATGTAACAGCAGAAAGAGTCTCAGCAGGCAGGACATTCCCACAGTTGTCACATTTGACATGGTCCTCACTTGGCTGGCCACATTTACCACAAACTGTGAGGTAATCATCAGGTTGAAGGGGCTGCTGGGTGTGGGAAGACATCATTTACACTTTATAACATTGAACACCTAAAGGGATAGTTCACCCAAAAACTCTTGTGTAGTTCCAAACCCGTAAGACTTTCATTCTTCTTTGTTACACAAGATATTTTAATGAAGTCAGTCAGAGATTTATGTCCCTCCACTGAAAATCTGTTCACCCAAAACTCTTGACAGTTCAAAGCGTTCGTAATAAGATCGTAAAACACATCCATATGTGTAATGGAGAAGTTTAATCCAAGTCTTTTGAAGAGACCCGATCGTTTTATATAATGAACAGATTTAATTTAGCCTTTTGTTAACATAATAACCTTTATTTTACCAGGAAAGAAGACTCACTGAGATTAAAATCTCTTTTTCGGGAGTGTCCTGGCCATGATAAGCAGCTTAGTTTACATATACATTTTACATCAAAGTTACAACACACAAACATAAACAAATCCCATTACATAAATACAAAATATAAAAGAAAAAAAAAAGAAAAAAAAAGAAAAAAATGCATCTGGTTACAGACATTTACACACAACTAATTTACTCTGATGATTTTCTAATAAATATTTAAATTGACCACAAGATACTAAATCTTTTAACTTCATCTCAGTCTGGAGAAGATTCCAGTCCGATTTAGAGCATAATGAGTAATTACCAGGTGACTTCTGTTTAATAAGACAATTCAACATACAATCATTGATGAACGCACATACATACAGCACATCAAATATGGCAAACAAAAGCTCAACCGCGCGCAAGAATGAAGCCCATTGGTTCTCGCGCGTCAAGCATAAATGTTTGAGCTTTTGCTTACCATATTTGATGTTCTCTATATTAGGGCTTCCCGATAATGGTTTACCTGATAGTCAGGATTATTTTGCTCAAAAATTATTTCACTCATGATTGATGATATGTTAGCTTTATCAAATAAAAATAAATTTAAAAAAACTATATATATATTGATCAAAATTGTATTGATAAGAGTAAACTGAACACTAACCATTAATACAACTTCTGGTAATGCATGGTTTTGGTGAGTGCTTTGTAATAGTGTTGTCACGATACTAGAATTTCTAACTTCGATACGATACCTTGAAAAATTTCGATATTCGATACCATTTTCGATACCACAGAGAAAAAAACTGCCACAATATTAAGGGGGTATTTTTTTTTTATTTAAAGCTAAATATAACAAGTCTAGAACATGACAATGAGGTATATTTTACATGAACAAAAATGTCCTGAGTTCTATTTGTTAATATTTTTTAATTGGACCAGAGCTAACATGATCCGTTGTATTTTTATTACCTACTGTTATCAAAGATTAAAATATACTGTAACAAAAAAGCAGTTAACAGTATCAAATTGGAGGATAGAGAGTCAGTAATGTATAATAATAAGATTAAACATTCAATTTTCAGTTAAAGGCATTTCATTATTGAATTCAGAGATGCCATTGTCTAGCTCAGTTTAGTTTAATTAGTATCTGTGTAATCAAATTGACGATAATCGCTAATGAAGGAAAATTGCAGAATTAAATAATAATATTTGAATAGTTAAATAGGCACAAGTTAATTTACATTTGACCACAGTTTACAATATTTACTTGTCTAGATTCCTCAGTCAGATTATGTTAACTTTAAGAAAACGGTGTACTTGAAAACGGTGAAAAAACGAGACAACACAGACTCTTATCAACAACAATACTAGGCCATCTTGGTTAATGTTTCAGAAAAGTTCAAATGAGAAGAGTTACAGTGTTTCCTTGAGGATTTTTTTTTTAGCAGTGGGGGCAGGTCTGTCCAAACAACAAACACCCCTGATGCTGAGCATATATGCTGCTAAATGGTACCCCTGGAGCCTGTTCCTTAAGTCTGTTTTCACCTATACAATAATAAAAATGAGTGATGTGAGGGATTATTGATAGTCAAACAATCTTTTGGGTGCCTGCAGCCCGCTCGTGTGCGCGCTATTCTCCGACATGCCCGCTCGCGGTGTTCTTTATCAATCAACCAAAGTCGGTCGCGGGGGCGCCACCCTCGCCATCTTTCCATTCACTTCACTTTTGCTATTTAACCAGAGCGAATGAGACGAGTGCGTCACGTGTGGTGTTTGTCAATGCGCCTTTGGAGAGAAGTGAAAGTGACCACTCGGCTAGTATCGATACTTCGGGAAATTAGTATTGGTACCGTTCAGATATTTCAGTATCGATATTTATCGAAATATCGATATTTTTGACAACACTACTTTGTAAATTGTCTTCATGTTTGATATTTTATGAGAAGCAATTTAGATGCTTCTATTAGCAATTTAGCCACAATGGCAAACAATATGGTCGAGAATAATTATTTATTTATTAGTGCGTCACTGTGAGATGGTGTGAGCAAGAGGCTTGCTAACCAATGCAAGATACCGTGAATGTCAAATAAATAAATAAATATTTTCAGGTCAAATAAACAGCAGGCCAATATCTCAATGATTATTTTGAATGTGTTATTAATACGACTAATGGTGCAGCCCTACTCTATAAAAGCCGAAATGAAATCAGTTCATCATATAAAGCCATCAGGTCTTATGGATTTGGAACAACATGAGGGTGAGAAATTAATGACAGAACTTTACATTTGTGTGTTAAAGGGTTAGGTTCAACCAAAAATGAACTACAAAAAAGCACATTTGACATGAATTATCATACATTTAAATGTCGAGGGGTACAGTCTCACCTGAACGGGTCTGCCCACAGTATCAGGAATGCTGTTCATCGTCCGCCGTTTCTGATGGACACGTCTCTTAATAGCGAGGTCTCCTGAATCTAGGGATGTACAGTGGAACAACAGTCATATACATCAAGGTTATGTCTTATGATGAGTAGGCAAGTATTTTATTTGCCACTATATTTTATATGACATTAGACATACAGTAATGATTGCTATTCAGAGCAGATAAGGGTGAAAACTATAACTTGGCAAGGCTATTTATAGGCAAATAAACCAAGGCTATAACTTGTTTAGAGACAGGCATTGTTAACAGAATAAACAATCAATCCACAGCAAATGTGATGCAAATGCAAACTATGCTGATTTGTGTTTTATTATGGGTACTATCACTTCCCCTTTTTGCTTGCAAACACTTTTCGGTTTGAGGTTCAGTTGTTATGGCTTCAAGCTGCTTCCACTGTAGTAGTAGCCCGAGCTTCTCTCCTTTTATTTACAGATATGATGTAGACACGCATGGATGAATGATTAAAGTATGCAGTGCAACTCTAAAATATAAAAAACTACAGTAGGTGTGATTAAGAATAAGGCAAAAACACGATTTGAAAGGGTTTTGTGATATACTCGCTCAGTGTTTACATTTTGTTAACTTCAAAAAAAAAGATTATATAGTGTAGCATTAACACTTGATTGCTCATAAAGTAACTCCAGAAACCAGTTCACACTCCTTTCGAAACTTTGATGCGCTCTTTATCTGTCAGTAAACTCTTGGAGACCGTGAGAAGACTCATTGGTGCAGGACCGGCTCCGTCCGCTTACCTGACATCGGTGGACACGTGAGAAGAATGTTCTCCAGCTCCACTCTTTGGATCAGATCAGATCTGCAGGACACACACATTGGCAGACAGCATGAGAATTCAGAAATACAGCAGATCCATCACATCTGATGTTCTGGGTTCAATTCACATTACTTGAGATAATTTTGGTTTTTAAAATTGAGAGACTATTTTCTGTAGTAATCGACATTACGCCACAAATTCTGAATCTTAACTCACTGAACCTAAAATACGATTTTAGGATGTAAGAGGACTAAATCAAACCAACAAACTGTAGGAAATAAGCCACACAATGCATTTCCCAACAGATGTGGTTGAAGCTTTAGTAAGGGAAGATCAAGTGCGTCTGATTTTTAAAGGGTTTTTATTTGACCAAAACTACAGACCGTTTACCTCTGGTATAAAGATGTGTTTTGGTGGATCGGATCACAAGTGGACGACGCTAATGTAGCGTCTGGACCAATCAGAGACACACAAATTATTCATTATATTTAATGAATAATCCAGCAAACTCACTCTCCCAACAAAGTTCTATGAAACTTCCCCCACAAATGAAGCCAACACTGGCAGGACCCATTGTCCTGTTACAGGACACCTTAAGACTGATAAGAGTTAACGACCCCAAAAAAGAAATGTGCAGAGGGCTGTGACACTCACTTAATTCTTGCTGAGAAGGAGAAATTAACCTTTTTAATCCTACATATTCTATATATAACCATGTGATAAATGTATTAACAAGCATCTAATTTTCCCATCTCATGATTTTCCTTTTATGTGATTTGTATTAAAGGGGTCATATAATGCTAGCCGGCAAATTTAGATTTGCTCTGAAAGTTAGTCTGGCAAAGAGCTCATTGAAACCTTATACTGTCTATGATTGAAACCCATTTCCAGTCCGCAGAAATCACGGCACCAATCAGAAACGTTGGGGCGGGCTTTACACGATGACGGCAGCACAGCGACGGTGAAGCAGATTTTGTACATTTACAAAGATGGATGCCGCCGTGGAACTATGTGTGACGGTTATAGTTGAACACCGTCATTAGAACTCTATAACCGCCAAAACCATGTTATTAAAATATATTTTTCACAAACATTTATCATAGAGAATGTTTAAATACTAATATCAGCTTACAGGGGAAACGGAGGCGGAGTTAGTGGTGCGATCGGAGGCTGCTACTGCTGGAGATGATTCGGGAGAGGTCTGTGCCCCTTTACCGGTCAGAGCGCGCGCTGACACGGAGTAAAGCCTTGTTTAACTCGACTCGTCCGCACGAGCGCGAAGGTGCGCGGGGCAAAAATGACGCGTTCGGTGCGCAAGACCGGCAAGACCCCATTGCGCTTGGCTGTGTGCACAGGTTTTTTGTAACAGCGCGCGCGGCGCAGCATCCGAGGATGAACGACTTCAAGCCGAATCTGCCCGAGCCGTACGTCTCACAGCACCGGCACCCAGTTTGCGCGTCTAAATTGCAAAGTTTTTTTTTATTAAGGTTTTCTTTACGGTGTTATTTATTTAATGGAAAGCACATTCACTTCCAGTTGTCTTGCTGTTAATTTTAAATAAACGTAGAGCAAGTAGCTAATCAGTGTCAGCAAGTTGTTCTATAACAGACGAACCAACGTCGCTCTGCATACGTCATCTTCTTCATCGCTCTGATTGGTTTTAGGTCTATCCAATCGCGCCCAGAGGCATTTGAGCGACGTCCGTTGGTGACGCCCCTTTGGAAATGATTTGTCTATGAAGCTTTGCCAGACCCTAACTCAGTTACAACTGAGAATGGTCTGGTTTTAACCAGGCTAATATAATGCCATTTTTGTACAAGCTAATATGATTCTTTAGGGTCTAAATTAAAAGTTTGTAATATACTTTAATTAAACATTCTCATTAGTATTGTAAGAAAACACTTATTTTACTTGGTCAAAAACAGCTCTGTTTTCAGCACGCCGTTTCAGTGCATATGACTTTAAATGATAATGAGCTTTGCTCACCCCGCCTCTCTGTTCTGTGCGTACACCGTTTGTAACACAATAACCATAACGCGTTGTTCAGTAGAAACGTGGGATTATGAATTATATTGAGAACGTTATACATAGAAAACATGCCGTAATGTACCCTGAGTGTAAACCTTAGACGCATTCATTGTGAAGCGTGCAGCTAGCGATTTGCAAAGATTAATATATTAATATAAAGTTTAATAAAACGTTACACTCACTTCCGTTCTTCTGGAGATTCAGCAGAAACACGAATATCTGGTACCGATCCATTTTTCATGAGTAGCTTCTTAGCAAATCCAGCTTTATACCTCCTCGTTTATAAAGCAGTCTGGTGAGAAATGATTCGCGTAAACATGAGAGCATTGACGTTGCTCGTGGGGAATATTCCCTTCGAAAACAAACTCAGCCACTGCGTCTTCAGCGGTTCGGATTTAGGAACATTAAAATGACTGTGTTCGTTATTACACCCAAGAACAGAACACCACAATCGCTTAGACGCCATTCTGCTCATAGACAGTGCTCCAGCATATCAACAATGACCGCGCCGGTCCGCGCAGACTATGATTGACAGCTCCCTCACGAGCGAGGGCGGGTCTGTGTTGAAACGCTCTGTCAATCAACAATCGTGGGAGGGGCTTCCGAGCGTGTGACGTCACAGGCTCGAACGGCTTGATTTGAGGCAGGGGAAAACATATAAGGAGATTAAAACAAAAACACTGGATGGATTTTTATCATTTTATGATGGTTGTGTACAGACACTGCCAACACACATTTCAGTACAATCAACTTGTAAAAGTGCATGTACCATTATATGACCCCTTTAATTCTCTTTTCTAAACTATTTTGGTCTGAAACATGACTTGCATACTATGGTTAACAAAAATCATATGTGTAGCATGTTTAGTCTCTATAAACTCCCATCTTCGTCCCCCATTTGTTAATTTACATTACATTTTGCTAACTTTGACGCATTAGTATTATAAGGATCTTGAAGATTGTTTTCGCAAACACCCAATGAAATTAAACATTCAAATCACCTGCTAGAAGACAATAGGTCGTAAAAACTCCCTCCAAAGGGGCAGCTTCGTATTGGCTCACGCACCTCCAGAGGGTGTGACATCTTCATGCTTTAAAAATCACTGATCACAAGATTAGCTCTCTTCTTGTCCTCTTGCTCTTAGCTCTCTTGCTCTCTGACTCTCTTGGTCCTTCTTTAGAAAGTCCTAATGTGAAGATGATGCTGAACTAGAAGTCCCCCAAGGAACCCAAGCTTGCGCCAGGCTGCGGCCTTGTCTTTCCATTCACCAAAGATCCTCTGACTCCCACTGGTTCTCTCTCATCAAGACCACATCAGCAAAGATCAACTGGAGCCTCAACAAATTGCATCAGGACAGTTTAATGCAAATGGCGAGACATGCAAGTATCAAACTTAGTCTCATTATTTGATACATTAAGTATCCTTACCCCTTTTAAAGAAGGGCGTGTTAGAACTAAACTGATGGTTTGCTCAAGCTGTTGATCTGCTGAACATCAAACAATGCTATAACTTCTTCCTTTCCTGTATTCTGCTTCATCTCTCTTTCCCTTGGTAAACTGTATGCATGTATGTATGTGTATGTTAGAGTAGTTTAAATGTTTAGTCTAGTTAATAAAATCTTGTTCATGTCACACGTAAAGTTGTCCGTGTCTCAAGCTCATATCTGGAGTCACTAATCATAGATCTTGACTACTTGCTCTTAGTAGTACTTAGTAAGAAAGACATTTCCCATGCCCCGGAAATGTACATTTCTATTAATTAATTAACCAATATTGAGTGTTCACGGGATGGACCGAGTAATTGGTTGTAATGGTAATGTAGCTACATCAAGTTAACCCGATTAACTGATCCAAATTTTCATAATCAATTATAACAAGTTATGATTGATTATTAATATTTCATAGAGCTAATTTGCTACACTAAATACAGGTGTTAACGGGGTCTGAAGTGTTTTGAGCTCGTCCACTCTCCAACACTTCCAGAGATAGTTGAAAACACAAATTGTGTTCAAACAGCCACAAAAGACCGTCTACTCTCCATCTACTGACCTAATGCAGGAACATTATGGGAAGAACGCTAGCCAGACGGGATTTAAACTTTGTCGGCTGAAGACTCAAGTTTGGTTTGAAGTAGGGGTGGGCGATATGGCAAAAATATCATATCAGGTGTATAGTTCTTTCTCCTATGGAAGTCAATGGGGACCAAGTTTGGTTACCCACATTCTTCAAAATACCTTCTTTTGTGTTCAGCACAAGAAAGAAATGAATACAGGTTTGGAACAACATTAGAGTGAATAAATAATGACAGAATTTTCATTTTTTGGTGAACTATCCCTTTAAGGACAAGCGGCAGCATGTTTACTCCGTGTTTCCCCTACCATTGTTTAGGGGGGGCGGCCCGCCCCACCAAAACGACCCCCGCCCCCCCTAAAATGCTGACGAAATCCAGTCATAAAAAGGAATTTAGTGTATAACGCAGAATTTCACGGAATTTGTAAATTTGAGGAAAAAATAGAAAGCAGTTCAGTACACTTGAAATCAAATCGCGATGTAGACTAGTGTCTGTGAATATTAAAACACAAAGACTATTTAAATACGAATCCTGCTTGTTCTGTGTGAATGAATGGTGCAGCCGACGCGCAGTTTCATTTACCACACACACACACTGAAGCACGTGTGACGCTTGCGCTGTTTTTTTGCCTATATGAAGACACAAATGCATGAACTTCCTCTCCAGGCTCTAGATCCACTCCGAAAGTCACTTCGTGATCATTTCACGCTTCATTTGAGAAAAACTATCATGATGACATAAACACACAGAAACTCAAAAGGTCTTCACGGCAACCCGTCAAAATAAAAGTTCGGTTTAACTTGACAGAAATATATTACTGTTGTACATTAGAATTTAGATATGTCCCAATGTAATAATACTAACACTAATCCAAATAAATTATCATGAAAACTGAAATTAAGGAATAATCCATGTTTTAATTTTAACAGTAAAGCTCATTGTGCAGCACGTTATTTGACAAAAAGTTTATTTAATTGCATGATTAAAATTGATGATAAATTATAAAATTTGTGTTTTATGTCTTCATTTTATTACCAGAAAAAACAACACAGAATTAGTGTGATTTTTTTTTTCCATATATAAAAAAAAAAATGTTGTACAAGTTTAATGATTCATAATACATGATTTCAATTAATTAGACATGCTTTTTGATTGCAAAAAAAATGTACACCACGTATCCGTAACACGCCCGCTCCGCAACACTAGCAGTCCCCAAACCCTAGGGGAAACAATGTTACTATTAGGCTACTGTCGCTTTAAGACCGGCACACGACGCATCTAATATACACGCATGACACACGCACCAGATTTTCTCTCATATGTTTGCTTTCACTTTAGACATAATCAACTCTGTTTATGTAAACCTTGTGTGTATTTGACCGTATTAGCGCAATGAGACTCGACTCATCAATGAGACTCGATAACTTAGTCCAGTATCCAGGCGCTGTTAGTTCCTGCGCTTCAAGTGTAACGTTACGCGCTCAGAAAAGCACACGTTAGAACAGCGCATCAGCACACTAATGAAATGTTAAACCGGCAAGGCTTTAAAGCACATGCAAATAATGAACTTTGGTGAATTGCAGTGTCCCGTATCTGCATGAACGTGTGATGTGTATGTGCGTCGCGTTGTGCAGCATGTTGAGACGGAGGCGCCAGAACTGCAACTGATAGAATGCACTGTATCACGATCCTGCGATATTTCTCCAAAAGCAGATCGTGGACACATTTTAATCATCCACGATCAAAAAACGTGATATCGCAGTCCCCTAGTATGAAGATGAAAAACATACCAAACACAAGGTTCTCTCTCCATTCCTGATTTCTAACACACACTCACAGCGTTCGGCTGGTCTTGTGTCTGTCAGAGCAGAAACTAAAGCTGACACTCTCTCTGTGTGTTTTCCCCTCGTCTCCGGGCGCGTTCATATAAACTGCGTGAGCTTATTTTGTCCATTAGATTGAAAGATCTGAAAAACCCATACATTTACCCGCCCATAGACCCTTCCCTCAAAGAAATCAGGACAGAAGTGTTTGAAAGTGGACAAAAGAGACGGATTAAAACACCAGCTGTAAACGGGAATGTGTCTCCCTCGTCTATTTGTGATCCGATCAACCAAAACACATCTTAATACCAGGTGTAAAAAGGGCAAAATCAAAAACACAGAAGCTTATGTCTCATATTGTTTTCCCGTTGCACTTGAAAACAGCTTACGGTTAACTAAAATCAAGGCAGTATTCCTCCCAATGCTCATACGTCTAGTAGAGCATATTCTGACCTACTTGATGTCAAACATCAGCCACTTGTTATTCTGTAAAGTCAGCTGGTCCAGTGCCGTACCTTTGCTCCATCTTCCTGCTTGGAGAAGAGAACTGTGCGTGCTGGAAGAGCCGCCCCTGAACCACGACTCCTTGGGACGGTGCCGGGCTCATTATCAGATAGCTGGTTCGACTGGGGAGCGCAGACACACTCACTGAATGAGCTGCTTCACTGGGAGACCATGAACAACAACAAAAGGCATGAGTATCATTATCTGATGGAAATACAAAAAAATAAGCAGATGTTTTATTAAATAACACTTTAAGCTATGAAATGTATATTTTAAAAACTCTTTTTTTTACCCAGAGTGATGAATATATACAACTACAATACCTAAGCTTGCCAGTTCTGTTGAGAGGTCTTAATTGATTTGGACGTCGTTCGTGAGTCTCCACCACAGACCCATTAGCACTGAAGCTCTTCATGGATGGAGTCTGCCAGAGACAGATCAGAGCGCTCGGGTTATAAGGTCATAGTTCAACACACCTGCAGACCAGGGCTAACAACCATCCAACATGAGATCATTAACATGTAACTCACCACAAATACACTATATGGCCAAGAGGCCATTAACAGTTTGTTTATTCCAGCTATAATTCTGGAAGGACTCATATGTCATACATTGACATTTTAGAAAACTGTGTATTTGACACTTTGTTGCAACAATTAAAATTTATAAAAAATTAGGTGGAAAATGTAACTGTGTGCAATTATAATATATAGTACATCTATTATATTAAAGGGGTGGTTCAGGATTGTGGACATCGGGCCTCATTTCCAAGTTAGCCTGGGTGTTATTTATCAGTGGAGACAGTTTTCAAAAAAATGTCATCCAGTCGTTCCAGTTGCATAGTTCGCCGGTGCTAGGCTAGCTCGCGCGAGTCAACGGTAACTGCTAGCCTGCCATTAATAACAATTTTACCCACTCCACAGTACACCAAAAGCAGATCAATTATAACGCCCGACTATCGATGTAAATGTCTGTTGAGAGAATAATGTTAGAAATCAAACTACCCTTTCATCGCATTGCTATAGTTATACTTTGTTCCCTGTATTTATTAGCACAGTCTACAGCAGCGGCGGAGTGATATAGGTAACCGAGAGAGGTAGTGAGAGAGAGAGGTAGAGAGAGAGGTAGAGGTAGAGAGAGGTAGTGAGAGAGAGAGGTAGAGAGAGAGGTAGAGGTAGAGAGAGGTAGTGAGAGAGGTAGTGAGAGAGGTAGTGAGAGAGGTAGAGAGAGAGAGAGAGGTAGTGAGAGAGGTAGAGAGAGAGAGAGGTAGTGAGAGAGAGGTAGTGAGAGAGAGAGGTAGTGAGAGAGAGAGGTAGTGAGAGAGAGAGGTAGTGAGAGAGAGAGGTAGAGAGAGAGGTAGAGGTAGAGAGAGGTAGTGAGAGAGGTAGTGAGAGAGGTAGTGAGAGAGGTAGTGAGAGAGGTAGTGAGAGAGGTAGAGAGAGAGGTAGAGAGAGAGAGAGGTAGTGAGAGAGGTAGTGAGAGAGGTAGTGAGAGAGGTAGTGAGAGAGGTAGAGAGAGAGGTAGAGAGAGAGAGAGAGGTAGTGAGAGAGGTAGAGAGAGAGAGAGGTAGTGAGAGAGAGGTAGTGAGAGAGGTAGTGAGAGAGGTAGAGAGAGAGGTAGAGAGAGAGGTAGAGAGAGAGAGAGGTAGTGAGAGAGGTAGTGAGAGAGAGAGGTAGTGAGAGAGAGAGGTAGTGAGAGAGAGAGGTAGAGAGAGGTAGTGAGAGAGAGAGGTAGTGAGAGAGAGAGGTAGAGAGAGAGATAGAGAGAGGTAGTACAGGTAGTCCCGACTGTAGTGCGCTTCGGTTCTGTGTTTACTTTTCGGCACAGCGCTACTAACCGACGTAAAGTAAAATCCCGCCGCTGCTGAGAAACTAGTTCCTGTAAATGTAATGCGATCATTGAGATGCAAGAGTAGTTTGATTTCTAACATTATTCTCTCAACAGACATTTACATCGATAGTCTGGCGTTATAATTGATCTGCTTTTGGTGTACTGTGGAGTGGGTAAAACTGTTATTAATGGCAGGCTAGCAGTTACCGTTGACTCGTGCTAGCCTAGCACCGGCGAACTATGCAACTGGAACGACTGGATGACATTTTTTGAAAACTGTCTCCACTGATAAATAACACCCAGGCTCGATGTCCAAAATCCTGAACCACCCCTTTAACATGTTGTATTTTACAACATATAGTTTATCTATATATAATATACTACAATTTTAATATATAATGCAACTATGATATTTTTATATAATAATTTGACATAAAAAGTAACATCTTTGAGTAACCTGTAAAAATGAGTACAACAGAACTGCCCCTGTAATGATGCATCCAAACAACAGAATCGGTCCTGTAATACGACATGATACTTCAGCTGGTGTCGTACCATGACATGTAATTAGGTATGAAGACCATCAGAGCCAAACACAGAGATTAAGAAAACTAATTCTGACCCAGAGGGGAGCAGGAAAGAGAGAGACGGACAGGGGCTCAATTATTGAAAGACAATGAAAGTAATTGGAGCATATGAGAGAGACAGAGAGAGTAAATACCTTGATTCCCTCCGGTGAAAGCTCCTGCTGGCCACTCACTCGCTCCATGGTCATAAGGGCAGCGCTAGCGGACCACAAGAGAGAGACACTTAGGATGTTTGCACACTTGGTTTGATTGCTTGGTCCGAAGTGTTTGGTTCTCAAGACCCTGATACACTTCAAGTAAAATCAAAGACCAAACTGGTGTGACAAAATCAGGCCAAAACGCAGTTCGAAACCTTCGAACACTGGCAGCTACATAACAGGTGGGTGTGGCCCTGAGGCTCCGCCTTCTCCGACGTGGAAATCTTCGTTATGATGATCAGATGTTTTCTTAACTGCCGTTTTCTCACCGCTGTCCTTTTTGTTGTGTTTATTTTGTTATTGAGGGGAAAGCGTGCGGCAGATATTAATCGACATGGACCAATGGTAGTTCAAAAGGTGTTTAACAGCCAGAGCAAACTTTTCTGGAAAAAAAATCTTAGTTTTGGCAAGCGCTTTCAAACTCCAGAAACAAACTTTGTTTTGACCTGATTTTGTTTGAAATGTCATCACACCAGTTTGTTCTTCGATTTCACTGGAAGTATATCAGGACCTTAATCCCCAACACCACAGGTCTCGTTTCATGCATTTTCACTCCCTACATTTCAAGTGGATTTAATCTTATGAATGTGGGGTTTCGTGGAATGTGGAATGCTTGTCTTCACGAATAAGAGATACGGGGAATATTTCAAGGCTTTATGGGATGCTGCTGTAAAGCACACTGGTATAACGACACTTGTATTTCTGTTGGTCAGACGAAGTCTGGGCATTAAGCAACTAAGATTATTCAATAAATAAACCCTGCTTATTTATATCATTATTACTTCATCTCCTGCTTTCTGCTCATCTCCATCTTTCTCAGTCAACATCTTGGCTGATGCAAGACTGTTAACACAGTTTTGGGTGCCACACACTGATTTTGGGAACCAGACATGTCTGTCTTGCTGTTGACAGGTTTTGGATACCAGAAAAAATGGAGATCTTCAGACAGGATCCGGCAGCCGGGGTTGAATCTACTATTCTAGACGTGGAGACTCGATCTAACAGGTTTCCTGATGTAAACCCTTTCAGACAAACCGAATCCTGGCATCAAACAGATTCAGTTCTAGAGTGAAAACTGAGACCATTTGTCCTTATACCTAATGCACTATATTCCAAGTCTATTTCAAGTCATGTTTTAATTAGTGCTGTCAAACGATTAAAATATTTAATCGCGATTAATCGCATTAATGTCATAGTTAACTCGCGATTAATCGCACATTTTTATCTATTCTAAATGTCTCTTGATTTCTTTTTATCCCATTCTTTTTTCTCATTTTAATGCTCTTATCAACATGGAAAAGTGGATCGGCTTGCTTTGTGCAAATGTTTTTTTATTGAAGACAACATTGACAATACTGTTCAATTTCACACTAACATTCTCACTTGGAGCAAATAATCTCTCACACAATGTAACACTGTCCATCAATAAAAGGGTGAAAGAAATACTGACGAGGTCCTGATGTTGACGAGGGGGCGGAGAATTCAGCTGTGTGTGTGTGTGTGTGTGTGTGTGTGTGTGTGTGTGTGTGTGTGTGCTTGGCCATCATCAAGTGGTATTTCAGACTGGACGCGCTGCGATGATGATAGCTCAGTTCACAACGACAAAACGCACAGATCACTTTGGTCTTGTCAATGGAACCATTTGGCAACTTTTTAAAATGAAACTTTCCATTCAGAATCTTATTGGCATCCATTTCGGCGTCTCGCGCTCGTCATCCACTCAAAACGTAACGTTAACCAACTATTTGGCCGGCTCGCAAGCCTAAACAAGTGAGTGTGTGCGGCGTGCCTGTTGTTTTGTTTCCGGTCTAGCTAGATCCGCTTGCGCTTTCAAAACGTCCTCGCGCGGCGCAAGCCATTGAAATAAATGGGATTCATAGCTGCCGCGTCCTGTTGCAAAAGCATGTGAAAAAAACCTACAAAGTTTGCTAGGCCAAAAAGACTGTTAAAGTCGGCGTGAAAACAAATTTGACAAATCTTCTTTTTATATGTAATATTGTAGTGTTTATTATAAATGATTTATCTGTGCACTTCATTATTTTTTTTTAATTCCTGTACCGTTATAATCTTTAATCAAATACATTACCCTTCCCTCCCCCCTCGAAACGACCTCTCTTCTCTTTCGGTCACGTGCAATGGCGAAAGGGTGCGGCCAGAGCCGATGAGGGTGCGGCTATCGGTGCACAGCCTCTCAGAGAAGATACATTCAAATCTGCCTCCATTTTGTTTGCAACGCCCAACCTCCAACGATCCAATCAATTCCCGAAGGACGAAATCAAGCCCTGCCCTACATTTTTTCTAATTTCAGAAGCCGTTTCACTCGGATATACGTCACAACAAGGAAAAAATGACGATCTCAACTTCCGTTTCATGCCGACTTTAATCGCACGATAAAAAAATGAACGCCGTTAATAACGCGTTTAGCTGACAGCCCTAGTTTTAATTATTCATAAGTTTTTTTCTTTCATTTTTGAAGCTTGACAGACCTCTAGTCACTGTATGCTTTTATTGTTATGAAAAGAGGACCTTAAACATTCTACTAAATATCTCTTTTTAGAGGACTGTGCTGATGAAAACAGTGGCATGATCTGTCAGAGAAACACTGACAAGTGAAGTACACTTTCAGCAAAAGAAGCTTTTCTTGTGCACAGCGGACCACTACACATCCAGTTTGGCAGAATGTGTTAATTTAAGCATGTGGGCTTTTCCCATCTTCTCTTTGACCTTGACGTTTCTCTGTTTACCACAGTAATAAGGTTCGACTCAAAGCGTTGATGCAGAGATGCTTGAGTGGGCTGTAAGCTGCTCTGTGCTGAATGACCTTACTCATGTCTGCTGTCGTCTTCACTATCATCTGAGAGAGAACACCTCCAGGACTGCTTAAAGCCTCCATCTCTCCTGTCCTCACACTTATCCAGGGCTATCAAACACATGAGAACAGCGTATCAGAGCACAGCCATGCAAAGGATTATATCATGAGGTATCAATTTCCCTTGAGTGGAATAAGAAATAAGAATGAGATGTAAATATACATCAACTTTCAGAACGGCAACGTGCATTTATTGAGATGCAATGAGCTGTAACTTGGCGATCACCAGTAACAGTTAAACTACCACTAAAAGGCTTGTAATGAGACTTTTATTCACCAATGATGTATCAAATTGGTCAAAAATGCCCGGCCAAAATAAAGTCGCTGTTGGGATTTAAATAGGCAAATGCTTAAGAGTCTATGATTGGATCATTATTGCTTTTATGTTTCTATCATGTTATATGTTTGGCATCAGTTCTTCTAACCCTAATTAATGGAGTGTGTAGCTTTTCATTTCTTAAACAACCATGTAGGAAGACAACATTTATCAGGCACACATTGTCTAAGAATGGTTAAAAGAGAGCAAAATATAACGCATGTGTAAACTTATGTCTTAAAGTCCCCCTGTAGTCAATCATTTTATCCCTTAAACTCATCTTTGATCACCAACATGACACATTTAAAAGTTTCTCTCTTGATAAAAATAATTCATGCCTTAAAACAGCTTGAATGTAACTCGACACCCTTGCCTCATTTAGTATACGCGGTTCTATGAATATGCAAATGAGCCCCGCCTCCACTTACTCACACCAGCTCAGAGATCCACTCGTTCATCTGATTGGTTACAAGGTAGTAGTGTGTGACGTCAGAAACACCAGCGATTTCAAACCGTGTTTTTGAGACTGTCTCTGTTCACTGCAGTTTTAAGCAGAAAATACTCAGCAATGCTGTCGACTTATGAATTTACACATGGTTTGTCTTAAAGTACATTAAAAACACCACATAGACACATAAACAACATTAAAAGCTTGATTTTCACCACAGGGGGACTTTAAAGTGACAAAAGCCTAATGTTTCTGCTACTGTCTGTATCCTTAATGTTAACTAAACTACAAAAGACAAAGAGAAAATCTCTCAATGCTCTTGACTGAATAAGTTTTGTAACTTCAATAAGGATTATTCTATATTTAGGCTAATTTATACAGTGGAGGCTATGCAGTGTTATTTGACATTTTATTACTTTAAATGTGAATTTCTGTACCTTTAAACAACTGTTAAACCTACCTAAACATAAAAAGCACTGTTTATTTCACTTGTATGTTTGTGTTCTATTGTATTTACTTGTGCTATTGCTCATACTTTGAGTTTTTGTTCTTATTTTATTACTGCCCATTTACTTGTCGTTAATAATATTTGAATTCTAAATAGGCTAGTTTTTTTTCTGTGCCATAAAAATTGGAATCAAGAATTGTGAAATTTCACTAGTATTTGAAATTTGGTGTCAAGGTCTTATTTATTAAAGTAAAAAGATCATTAAAGTTTCGATTCTGGACTTTTTATTTTTCTGCCAAGATGCTGTAATCATTACTAGTAATAGATAAACTAATATAGGAACTCTGGAGATCTAGAGGGAATGGGAATGTGAATCTTAATGTGAATTGGGGAGCAGGACTGTTCTCCTTTTCAGCGGCAGTTTATGGAAATTGTCAAACTAATTTTTACATCCAGAAGCAATGCAATAGTGGCCTCCCTTTTGTCTTCAGATTCCTGAACCACTGGCCCAACCGGTGGTCTACTTGAGACCAATAGCATTGAGACCTAACAGTGTTGACAGACTGGAGTAATGGAATAGGAAATTTAGCTATTTGTTTTTTTTAGGGTTTTTTTTTTTTTACGTGGGTTACCGTATTTTAATACAGTAACCCACCAAAAATAGAACCAGTTCTATTTTAATAGTACTGGTTCTGGGAACAACTTTTCTAAATGTTAAACTTAAAACCCAAACTCAGCTCAGACCTTCAGATTATTACAGACAGAGAAGTGTTTACTACAATTTTTATGGCTGTGTCCTATTACCTGTCCTGCAGTGAACATGAATTAGCCTTATCTTTATACTTTTTCAAACTCAAGTTGTAAAATGAAGGGGACCTTTAGAGCTCCAGACATTTTTCCTTTTAAAGCATTTAAAGTGCAAGAGCAGTCAACATAATGTCTGAAAATGTAATTAATGCATTTTATGTATTTTGAAGGCAATATGATACTGCTGATGACAACATAATATATTCTTTTATAGTCATTCGTATCAGAGAGGGAAATAACATTCTAATATTTATCAACTGTACACAATGTATCACTGTATGAGATTGAAGGGCCCTCGCTAAAACACTGAGAAACATGGCTAAAACATCTACAGACAGCGGTGATGAATGAAAATAGATAATGTCTTGTTAATTTTTGATGCAAACCAGCATGAGTACATTTACTGTGTTTTAATGTCTTTTATTAATTCAATTATTTCAGAGGTTTGTTTATCGTCTCATAGCATCAGGCCTCCGTTTGTTTTAGCATTCATACACTGAAACAGACGCTTAAACAAGAGGACAGACCTTCAAACGACACATGTGTAATACTATGCACTTTAATTTAAGTATATTTTTTGTTTAATGACCTCAGATGCGTGTATTTTTTTCTGTGTGGAGCTGCTCGGTTAGCACGTGAGCTAACACACACACGGTGAAACCCGACGGATAATATTCACATTTTCTACACGAACACAAGACAAACAGCTCATTAAAACACATTGAAGACAAATAAACACAAGTGCACATGTTTTTTGACTTACCTTCAATAAATATACTCTTTTTATGATTCATTTTGGTCCATCTCTTCTTCAAACGTGTTTATTCTCGCGCACTGTAACGTTACTCACGCGACTTCTGTCACTCCAACACTTAAAACGCTTTAATATTTCACATGTGATTTAATGTGCTCACATCCCAATCTGACTCAAATTCAGTCTGTACGTCAAATTATGTCGCTTTGTGCTTTTCAGTCCAGCTTCAGTCCAAATGAGCAGAAATCCAGCTGAAACCAGGATCAGAGTGAACAATATCCGTCTTACTGCGGCGATAAAAGCTTATTAAGATAATTACTCCAACAGTGTGGGAGATTAAAATGCATTTATGAAAACATTAGATTTTAAGACATTTTTGTGAAACTCTGAGCGGTTAAAAGTGCATTATTCTGCAGCATGAAGCGCTATTGAGTCACTTCCGCCGAGACTTTTGTGCAATATGAATATCAGTAAAATGTCGTATAGCTCGTCATATTTTTAATAATCTGTTTGCTAGTGCATTTGGTAGTTTTTTTTTTAAATCTCAATATTTATCTAGAATATAAACATATCATGGTGTGAATGGCCATAACATTTTTTTTTTCTCAACTCATAATTATCATATGATAAAAGATTAAATCCTAATATCTGAAATGTTAAGGACCATATGACATTTCGGCCTGGTTTCACAGACAGGGCTTAGATTAAGCCAGGATTAGGCCTTAGTTCAATTAGGACATTTAAGTAGCTTTTATAAACGTTTTATGGTGTGCATCTCGAGACAAAACAATGGAACTGACATTTTTTAAGATATACGGGTGCACGTTTCTTTCAGTTAAACCGCTCAAACATCAGCCTTGTCTGTGAAACTGAGTGTTGTTGATGTAGTAGACTGTAAAAAAAAAAAAACACTAGGCTATACATTTTAGTGTCCATGCATAATTTTGGGGATAGCTATATTACTGTATGTATAACTATATAATTTCAACACAATCAAAAACTTGTTTGTAACTATCAAACACACCTGAAGAAAGTAATCAAGCAGAAGGTGTACACATGGTGCATGACATCAGAGCTCAAGTTTCAATATGTCATATGATGTCACTATTCTCAAACATTACATTATATTAGCCTACATGAGCTGTCAAAAAATAGAAAATAACAAGACAAGATTACAGAGAACATATAAAGCCTGAATGAATGCATTTCTGTGTACCATTGGCAAATATTACAAGTCTCCAAACGCATGCCATTTAGAAAGGATGACAAAATTAGAATGCAGCACTTATAAACACTAATTGATTTTAAAAAAATATGTAAAAAATATTGTAAGACATATTGTACAAATATTACACACTGCAAACAAAAACATCAACTTTTTAAACAGTATCATTATTATTTGAAATTAAAAAGTAGAAAGGTTCTTCAATGACCAGTTTACAGTTAGTAAAATGGGACAAATGAGTCTGTATTTTACACTCGTTAATTAAGCAAATGATGCAGTCTTGCTTCCTCCATTTCACATAAATACACATAAATTGGATACACCAAAAAAAAAAATTAGTTGGCAGTTACTCTGCAATACTCTAATAAGAGTTACAACAGGAAATAAGATACAGATTACATAAAATATTTAAATTATCAAACATTTCTGGTAACACTTTACTATAAGGTTCATTAGTTAGCATGAACTGCACTTATACAGCATTAAATTAATCTTTGTTAATTTTAATTTCAACATTTACCAATACTTTATTAAAATCTTGTTAACATTAGTTAATGCACTGTGAACTAACATGAACAAACAATGAACAGCTTTATTTTTATTAACTATAACAGATGAACTAATACAGTATTGCTCATGGTTAGTTTATGTTAGTTAATACATTAAGTAATGTTAACTAATGAACCTTATTGTAAAGTGTTTCTCTAAATTTCACCCAAAGCCAACCAATCTGTTCAGATGTAACTTTTTCCTTTAGCTATACCATCGCAGAATTACACACAGGATTGTCATCTGTAGGAGCATCTGTGCTGTCCTCAAAATCAATCGGATGAAGGCTTTAGTACATCGTTCATACACCTAGGATGGCTTGAGGGTGAGTAAATCATGGGCTAATTTTCATTTTTGGGTGAACTATCCCTTTAAGAGTTGACCATACTGTTATTTAACTTCTTCAATTATAAATGTGCTACCTACTTTTTATTCAGTATTAATGTTGAAGTGATACCTGTCAGGGAACACAGACTCAAGGAAACGGTTGAGTAACTTCAGTAGAAATTGTTTATTGACAACAGATGAAATATGGAGAAATGATGCTGAACTTCAACAAGAGAGTGGAGAAGGATGACAGTCTGTAATGGTACATGCCTCATACACCTCTGATACTTTGAGAAAAGGCCAATGAAAACTGGCGAGTGGAATGTGCATTTCCACTCCCCCGGACATACGGGTGTAAAAGAAGATGGCGTACATATTCAGATTTGTTCTTCGGAGCCGAGTGGTTGTGATAAACAATCGCTCTGCCCATTCGCCTCTGTAAGGCCTCTCTCTCTCTCCCTGTTTCCCTAAAAGAGCGAAACAGAGTGTCTTTTTAAAGATGCCTTTCCACATGTGTGTTTCTGGATGCGGTCGAGATCTCTTATCCTCGGACTGCCATGATGTCTGCCTCGTGTTTTTGAGTCGTACCCACGCTGACAAAGCTTTCACGGATGGTTCATCTCCTGAGCACGTTTACATGCACACCAGTACGCTGATAACTCAACCAGCTTATTGAAACAATCTGCTGTACATGCAAACCAGCGGAAGTAACACGCGTTTACAAGACTTTATTAATAAATCAGGTTATTTCCCGGTAGTGACGCAAAAACGTAATAATTTGCGTATCTGACTCGGTTGTGATGTTAAATAAAGCATTGAAAACTGAAGAAGAGTATTGCAACATGTCAGCGGGAAACTTACGGCTCATATATTATCATGCAGTTACAGATGCAGCATTTTGCATTTTGGAAAGAGTGTGGTCAAGAAAGAGTCTGAGTTTGTGATATATTACTGCGAAACGCTCACTCTGGATGCACTTAAATCCACAGTAAGGATGCATTCCTGTCACATATCACACACGCGCACTTCAATAAGCTGACAGAAAGCAGGTTAATGCGTTTACATGCTAGTCGAAATCGCCGTGAGGTGCAAAAATTCAGCTGTGGCGATCGGGTTATGCTTAAGTGGTTTATGACCTTCCTCCGATAAAGGAAACAGGGTTAACGCGTTTAAATGATGATGTGCATCGATGGCTTATTAAGCATAATAGGGTTAAGAACGTGCATGTAAACGCAACCACTGTGAGAACATGACCATTGCAATACTGCGGTCGAAACTCCTTGCCCCGGTCCTTCTGCAATGCACAAGGCCATGACGGCAAGCGCTGAGGGCGATATGAGGGCTAGGAGCGTTTCCCCATGGAGCTGCACTGTACCTGTAATGCCCAAGTCAGAAAGGACAGACAGGATGTTCTGGTGGTTCACAGTGTCAAAGACAGAAGACCGGTCCAGTAGAATAGGAATAGATGATTTGAAGTTCGTTCTTGCCAGCCAAAGAGTTTCAGCAATAGTCAGCAGGATGGTCTTAGGCCCCATACACACAGCAAAAACTCCAGTGTTAAATGAACTCTCCTGGGAGTTTATATGGCTCCAAACTCAAGAGTGTTAAAGTGTTAAAATATGAGTGTTAAATTAACACTCAAGAGTGTTAAAGTTAATGAGCTAATTAAGTGATTCATTGAGTGACGATTGACCATTATTGAAGACACCTGATGTTAACAAGGAGAATCACCAAAGGAGAAAATCTAGTTTTTTAGTCACCATTATGGAGATCAGTGTTTGCTTTAGTTGGGCTCTTGACCCTTAAATCATTAACTTTAGATTTTGTTTGGATGTTGTATCTGATTTATAACTGTAAGTTTTATACGTTTATTAGTTTGGTTATTTAAGAAATTAGTAATACATAATAATAAAGCAAGATACCCTGTTGAAATATGTGAGATATGTGGTTTATATACACAGCAAAATCCCCAGTGTTAAATTAACACTGAAAAGTGTGGATTATATAAACTCTGAGCAGAGTGTTAAATGAACACTGAAGCAGTGTTAAAGTTAATGAGATAATTAAGTGAATAATTGAGTGATGATTGAGCATTATTGAAGACACCTGATGTTAACGAGCAGAATCACTGAAGGACAAAACCGAAATCTTTAAGTCACCATTATGGCGATCCGTGTTTGCTTTAGTTGGGCTCTTGACCCTTAAATCATTAACTTTAGATTTTGTTTGGATGCTGTACGTGAGTTATAACAGCCAGATGAACAAACAGAAAAGGTGATCTGATGGTGATGGATGTGTTTTAACACAATCATTATCACAATCATTAGACCTGAATCACTGAACTCATATAGAGCCTGATTTCTGAGTAAAGTTTACTTTGTTAATTATAGCAGCAGTGACCTTGTACAGCATAATATTTTTAACGTTTACAATGCAATCAAAATAAAAAATTTTTTTAAGTTTCTCTTAAACTATTTTTTACAATTTGTTTTAAGACATCAATAATTAGCCTGTGAATCTCAACAATGGTGACAATTATAAAGCATGTGGCAGTGCATTCTGGGTGCCACCAATCAAAACTCATTCATGGCTCCCATCATGCATTGCTGCATGAATAAATAATGAGCTTATGTTCAGAGGTGATCTGTTTGTCACCATTGCTGAGATGTATATGCTAATTCTTGATGTCTGTGTGTGCCTACATAAAATATTTTTTGGAATTTTTTTTTTTGATCGTTTGGATTTCATTGAAAAGTCTAAAAATGGTATGTTCAAAAATTACCGTGCTGCTAAAATCCATAAGGTAAATGTTTATTCAGTGATTCAGGTCAATGAATGATTATGTTAAAACACAATCAACACCATCAGATCACCGTTTCTATTTGTTCATCTAGCTGTTATAACTCACATACAGCAGCCAAACAAAATCTAAAGTTAATGATTTAAGGGTCAAGAGCCCAACTAAACCAAGCACTGATCACCATAATGGTGACTTAAAAATTACGGTTTTCTCCTTCAGAGATTCTGCTTGTTAACATCAGGTGTCTTCAATAATGCTCAATCATCACTCAATTTTTCACTTAATTATCTCATTAACTTTAACACTGCTTCAGTGTTCATTTAACTCTCTGCTCAGAGTTTATATAATCCACACTCTCAGTGTTAATTTAACACTCTCAGTGTTAATTTAACACTGGGGATTTTGCTGTGTAAACTGCAAAGGTAAAGTATAAATTAAAATGATTGTGACCGACGTGAAGGGGGAGGAGAATTTATACGTGCGTCACGTTTAGTCGATAAAACACTTCCGCAAAGCATACAACTGTGCATCCTCGCTCATAGCTC